TTACTACTTCAAAGGTGTCACAGTTGCAAGAGTTCATCGGACTGGCAAGGAAACCGTTTCTCCTACCCTTCTATGGCATCGAAGACTTGGACATTCCTCTTATAAAGCTTTGTCATCTTTACCCGTTTTTGATAGCTTAAAAGTTGATTTTGGTCACACGCATCCGTGTGATATTTGTTTTCGTGCTAAACAAACTAGAGAAGTTTTTGGTCACAGTTTTAATAAAGCTTTGCAACCTTTTGCCTTGATTCATTGTGATGTGTGGGGTCCTTATCGTACTCTATCTTCTTGTGGTGCTGCATACTTTCTCACAATTGTTGATGACTATTCTAGAGCTGTTTGGATCTATCTAATGTTGGAAAAATCAGAGGTTAAAAGTTTGATGCACACCTTCTGCGCCATGAGTGAGAAACAGTTTGGTAAACCGGTTAAGATTGTTCACTCAGATAATGGCTCCGAGTTCACCTCTCTCTCATCTTTCTTTCGTGAGAAAGGAATTGAACATCAGACGTCTTGCGTTGACACACCCCAACAAAATGGTCGTGTCGAACGCAAACATCGTCACATTCTCAATATCGCTCGGGCATTACTCTTTCAAGCCAAGCTTCCGATCACATTTTGGGGCAAAAGCGTTCTTACTGCTGCGCATCTTATCAACAGAACGCCAACTTTAGTACTCCAAGGTAGAACACCATACGAACTCCTCCATGGGTCTGTTCCCTCTTATGATCTGTTGCGAAAGTTTGGTTGCTTATGCTACGCCCATCGACGTGCCCGTGATAAAGACAAATTTGGAGATCGCAGTCGTAAGTGTCTCTTTGTAGGTTACCCTTACGGCAAGAAAGCATGGAATCTATATGATATTGAAAGCAATGAATTCTTTTCCAGTCGGGATGTGATTTTCTTCGAAGATCAGTTTCCCGGAGTTTCTACCGGTGAGTATGTTACACCACCAGTCTTTCAGCCAGACGTCGCATTTGATGAATGGTTGCTTCCGCTTGCACCTGCAACGACATCCTCTACGGTTCCTACCCCGTCGTTGACTTTGCCCTCTAATGTGCCTAACACTACTACTGATGCTCACTCGGCTGACGCATCTGCGTCCCCACTAACGCTACCAGATCATCACGATCTCTCTACTGACCAGAATCGTCCTGAGTCCCCTTCTACTGAGCTAATTTCTGCTCCAACTGATGCTCCTTCGCCTGGTCTTCCTGAGTTACTTGGACGTGGTCATCGTCGCCCACAGCCCTCCGTCCTACTACGCGACTTTGTCGTCAACACGTCTCAGCTAACTCCAAACCCCTCTCTCGCTCCTTAAACTCCTGATCATGGTCTCTCTACTACGGTTCCAGGTAACACTCCCTATCCCATTGCTGCTTATCTATCACGCGTGCAATTTTCCTCTTGTCACCAGGCTTTCTTAGCGGCTTTGACGACATCCTTTGAACCTACGTCTTACAAAGAGGCCATGCTTGATGATATTTGGAATAATTCAATGAAGGATGAATATTCTGCTTTGGAATTAAATAGGACGTGGGATATTACCACTCTTCCTCCCGGCAAGAAAGCGATTGGTAGCAAATGGGTATACAAAATCAAGTATCACTCCAATGGCAAGATAGCTCGCTACAAATCACGGTTGGTGGCTCTTGGTAATCGTCAACGTGAAGGGCTTGATTACACCAATACTTTTGCTCCTGTTGCTAAACCTTCCACTGTTCGTCTTCTTCTCGAAGTTGCGGCTGCCAAGCAATGGGAAATCCACCAAATGGATGTTCACAACGCCTTCTTGCACGGTGATCTCCATGAGGAGGTTTATATGCGGCTACCCCCTGGTTTTGAATCTTCTGATCCATCGAAAGTTTGTCGTCTTCACAAATCCATCTATGGGCTTAAGCAAGCTCCTCGTTGCTGGTTTGCAAAACTTCGTACAGCTCTTCTGGCATATGGTTTTAAACAGAGTAAAGCAGACTATTCTCACTTCTCGTTTGTGAAAGGGACGCTTTGTCTTCACATCCTGATCTATGTTGATGATTTCATTGTAGCCGGCAATGATCTTTCTACTATGCAACGATTCAAGGATTATCTCAGCCAATGTTTTCATATGAAAGATTTGGGAAAGCTCAATTATTTCCTTGGGATTGAAGTCGCTCGCAATACTGATGGCATTTTCATCTCCCAGCGCAAGTACGCCTTAGATATCATTACTGAAACAGGTTTACTTGGCTCTAAACCAGCGTCCACACCCATTGAACTCAATTACAAGCTCTCACTGGCTACTGGTTCTTCTCTTGAAAAACCCGAAGCTTATCGTCGACTGGTGGGACGACTGACCTACCTGACCTTTACCCGGCCCGAACTATGTTATGCGGTTCATATCCTGTCTCAGTTTATGCAGAACCCTCTACAATCTCACTGGAATGCGGCATTACGCACTGTTCGTTATCTTAAAGGGTGTCCAGGTCAAGGTGTTTTCCTTCGTGCTGATTCTGATCTCCGGATTACTGCTTACTGCGATTCGGATTATAATGCTTGTCCTTTAACGCGTCGCTCCCTTTGCTCTTACATTATTCTTCTTGGTCCATCTCCAATTTCTTGGAAGAAAAAGAAACAAGACACTGTCTCTATGTCTTCTACTGAGGCGGAGTATAGGTCCCCTTATTACATATTACAAGGTTGAAACACATAAATCTGACCAGGACTGTAGGCATGCAACGCATTGCTCGGTTACTTTCTCATGTAAGTATAGGGCCGTTGAACCACATTCATATATTTTCAAATGGACCTAAAATGTGGCATCATTTTAAATTTTTAACTGACAAATCAGGAATATCGAATCTATATAGTGGTATGAACACCAATACTCTAATTCTTATTTACAAATCGAACAATTAGAATTAACAATTTGTAAGAATACAAGAGGTCTTATCAAATTCCTGTTCTTGAATTAGAGGTTGCGAGAAATTGATAGATCAACCCACACTATTAATTGTTTATGTGAATCAGCCAACATATTGTACAATTCAAGTTCATTAGAAAACTAAAACGGGCATATGGATCAAGTGATAATCGATACTACAGAAAAATAGAATAAGATAGTACTCGTATAGTGGGACAATGTAGCACCAACTTCGGGCTTTTGATCGATACTACAGAAAAAATAAGCTAGTTGTAGTATAGTGGCCTAGTGGGATAAGTTTGATGTAACACCAACTTTGAGCTTTTGACTTTTATGAATAATAATTATGGTATATTAGTTGTTGAGTCACAACTTACATATATATTTGTAGGGTTACTGATGTTAAGATCGGTTGGTATGTGATAATTGATATATGTTTCCACGAATAATAAATATAAAGTGCTATTAGTTGATCAAATCGTTAGAATGATGGTTTTATTTTTATCTTGTATCGTGTCAAAGTTTTGTTTGTTTTTTACCATGTCCAAGTTTGAGTACCACATAATATTTCTACAAAGTAAACCAATCACTTGTCCTTAATTTTTTTGTTTTTTTAGATACAAAGTGAATAGTAAAGGCTTTGAAATTTACCCCCCCCCCCCCAAAAAAAAATGGAAAAACAAATAAAGGCTTTGAATCTGAGAGAAGTAAGGGCTTTGAATCTGAGAGAAGTAAGGGCTTTGAATCTGAGAGAAGTAAGGGCTTTGAATCTGAAGAAAATGTGGGCATGATGGCGATTGTAGAACAAACTATGCAAAAACAAGTGGTTAATGTAGAACATTAGTTGAATAATAACTTTTAATGGTCTAATGACAAATTACTTACATTTTAAAAACAGATAATCTGAAAATAAATAATACCTCTTTTAAAAGGTTATAAAAAGATCTGAAAATAAAAAACATGTAAACCGAGTAATCCAAGATCATATAAGTATTTCAAAAAAAAGAAAAAAGAGAGAGAAAGAGGGTAATGGAACTATGGAAGTAAAGGTGGGAGACGTGCATGTGTATAATAATATGTTATGGCTTAATCGAGTAATTGAAAATTGAGTTGGAGCATCTTTGGGCTCAGAGATTCTGTTCCCTTTGGGTTCACACTTTGAAGATCCCTCCCCAAGTACCGTGTTCACACTTCACTTCACTCGGCTTCCTCCTAGCTCGGCTCGATCCACATTTCTAAAGTTTCAATTTTTTATTATAAAGAGCTGGGAAAATATTTGTTCTGAGACTAATTAAATAATAACAAATAAATGATCAAATGTCATATTTTTAATGTTATGGCCGCGATCTTATAATGTTATCATAATTTGTTGTTGTTGATGACCATTTCATAGATTTACACGTTGATAAATTCAGTATTGCTTAAATTGTTCTTGAATGAAAATCGTGAAAATACAAAATATGATTAGTTTTATGCTAATATGCTAATATATAATTAAAGTTAGCATTTCAGGAAAAAAGAGAGGTGGATGGTCGCATAATAAGAGTTACATACAAACTAACAGTATAACATGCACAAAAACTGATGACATACGTATACGAAATTAACAAAAAAAGAAACTGATAAATGAAATGAAACTATCTTCATATAAAATATCGTATCTGAGTAATGGATAATGTGGACTATTGGATCTTCTTCTTTACATGTGGTTCTCTTTAGGCATGTGCTATACAATCTTTCGTGTTGATTTCTGTTTTGGTTAGACGTCACGTTAGGTATTACAAAATTATTATAGTTCTTCTTTCTTTTTTTTTTTTCATGGGCATTGCATTTTCACCGGCACACTTGGGAATATATATAATGCAACCAGCAAAAATATCCCCGCCGAGCTGACAAGCCAAAATGAAAACAAGGACAAAAGCTGGTGACGGTGAGTTCAACAAACACATGTCCACGTAGGATAAAAGTAGTCTGAAAATCTGACGTGGCATTGATCTAATCTTTTATCTCCTTTTCATGATTTCAATATCTCACCAGCTTCCACCTACGTATATATATATAAATATTCCCTTACCAGTTACCTCCAAACTCCAAAGAAAAAAAAAATAATGGGGAATTGCTTAAGGCATGAGTCAGAAATGCACTGGGCTGGTGAAGATTGGGATGATTTCTTCACAGAAGATGAAGAAGATCGTCATAGCTCTAAAACCTCAAGAAAGGCTAAAACATTAGTTGTTAGAAGCGACAGTAAATCCTCTGATCCATCTCATGAGATCAAGATCAGGCTCACGAAGAAGCAGCTCCAGGATTTGCTGACTAAAGTCAGCGTCGATGACTTGACCTTTCATCAACAGGTCAATAACTACGAAGAATTCAATCAGCAACGGTCATGGAGACCGGTTTTGCAGAGCATACCAGAGGTTTAATTGAGATTTTCAGGGATATTGTCATGTTGTATATATTTTTAGGCGTTTTTTCACTTTCTTTTTGTATTTTTAGAGTAGGGATTTTGATGCATGTAAAAGTTTGGATTTGTTTTCCTTTTTGTACCGATAACACTTCTCTTTTTGTTTGTCAGATTGTAAATATGAAGATAAACTCTAGAATCCACACAACTTTGATTGTTAATAACATTAAGATCGAGATTCACTCTGTGAAAATTCGCAGAGCTTAATATCTCTAGCTGGGCTTCACCGGAAAGAAAGAAGGATCGTTATGGGCCTTAAAAAGCCCACTGACTTGTAAGCTATTAATTTATAATTTACCCACTTTGCTCTTCCAACAAAAATAAAACAGACATTAAAGAGTTTAAAGAGTCTTCTTGTTGATTTGGTTTTGTCCTAATCCGTTTCGTTTTTCCCTCCGCTATTCCAAAAACGTCTCAAATTTCGTCATCTCTGGTTTCCTTTTCTAAAACCCTACGCTCCTCCTCCGGCCGCCGCTCCATTTCTCGTCGTCGATCTCCGACTTACGCTGCTGATTCCTTCTTTTGTTCCTCATATCGCTATCAATTTCACTCCCGGCGTTGCATCGACCAGCCAGAGTCTCCCTACCTATCCGCAAAAATATATTTGCTCTGCTGATTCAAAATCTGCATAAGGTCTCTGCAGGTTTATGGAATTCTTTGAATACGTTTCTTATCATCCTGTATTTTATTTCCTCGCTTTTTGGTTTACAATTTATTGAAGATTGAACTTTGTTATAGTTTCGGATTATTATAAGTTGCTGCAACAATCTAATCTCAATAGTCTTATCTTAGTTGAGATCAAGGATAAGATAGAGCAAACCAAGGTTTTTTCTTTCACTAGAATTCAAGATTTAAGTGTGGTTTGGGTTTCTTAGAAAATTTCAAATACAGGACAATTTTTCCTCCGCTGATTCAAAATCTGCTTAAGGTCTGTGCAGGTTTTTGAATTTTGAAAATCCGTTTGTTATGATCCTGTATTTTGTTTCCTCGCTTTTTGGTTTACAATTGATTGAAGATTGAACTTTGTGATAGTTTCGGATTATGATAAGTTGCTGCACCAATCTAATCTCATTAGTCTTATCTTATTTGAGATCAAGGATAGAGATAGAGCAACCAAGTTTTTTTGTTTGTTTTATAAAGCCGAGAGCATCCAACTAGTGCACTCGAATTCAGGATTTAAGTGTGGTTTGGCTTTCTTGAAAAAAAAAATCATGTGGAAACAAATGTGAAAGCATTGGTTAGTTCTGGTTTGCTATGTCCGTAATATGCAAAAGAAAGTGATAACATACCAAATATCAGCATGTTTCACTGCTAAACTTGGTAGTTCCTTTTGTTGTGATTGTTTTGGGGGTCCCTGTAAAGTGATACGTATTGAATTCTTGCTATCGTGTTTAAAGTTATGAGATTTTTAATTTCAGCGTCTTTTCTACATGCCGTTGTAGGTAATCTTAGCAGATTCTGGAAGTTGTCTCTAAGCAAATCCCTTCAACGAATCAGCTTCCTATCAGAATGTCTATCACATCATTACTTACTTCAGCCACACTTTCTGGTGCCTCAGTGTTTCCTAAGTCACTAGCCTGCAGCACTGACTTCTCAAGCAATCTCTCAAGTCCCTTTGACAGTTCAAAGATTTGTTTGACTTCATTTCCTGCCTCTAGGAATCCCAAGAAAAATGCTACTTGGAATCTGACCCCAAACACTGCTCCGATCCAAGGTATCAGGTGTCATGCTATGCAAGTTGAGACGAGGGAATCGTTTACGGCTGGGAAGAAATTTCAACTTAGTGATGTGATTGAAGGGCAACAGTTTGATAGGGAGATGCTAAGTGCTATATTCGATGTTGCACGCGAAATGGAAAAGATAGAAAAGAGCTCTTCTCAGAGTGAAATACTCAAGGGCTATTTAATGGCTACGCTCTTTTACGAGCCTTCTACACGTACCAGGCTCTCGTTTGAATCTGCCATGAAACGCTTGGGAGGGGAAGTCTTAACTACTGAGAACGCTAGAGAGTTTTCGTCTGCTGCCAAAGGGGAAACACTTGAAGGTATCCATCTTGGCAGCTAGTTTCTAATTGGTATTGTGAAATGTTGATTGTGTTTAGATTATTTTTGGGTTATTTTTGACAGACACCATAAGGACGGTGGAGGGTTATTCAGATATAATCGTGATGCGACATTTTGAAAGCGGTGCTGCAAGAAAAGCTGCAGCTACTGCTAACATACCTGTCATTAATGCAGGTGATGGCCCTGGAGAGCATCCTACTCAGGTGTGTTGTGTTCATAAACCTTAGTGTTTTAGTTCTTTTCTAAACAGACATGTTGGTTTCTACATGCTTGGTTCTTATATCTGATACTGTTACTGTTGTGAAGGCTCTCTTGGACGTGTATACCATCCAAAGTGAAATCGGAAAACTGGATGGCATCAGTGTAGCCTTAGTTGGAGATCTTGCCAATGGAAGGACAGTCCGGTCGCTTGCATACTTGCTTGCCAAATTTAAAGACGTGAAGATCTACTTTGTTTCCCCTGAAATTGTTAAGATGAAGGTTAGTATTTACTAAACTTCTCACCTTCCTTCAGAGAACTTGTAAGAAAATGGCTTAATGTACTCGAAAACAATGTTGGGTCTGTAGCGTTCCATCTTTAAAATGTTTTACTCTTTTAATTGTAGGATGATATAAAAGACTATTTGACATCAAATGGGGTCGAATGGGAAGAAAGTTCAGATTTAATGGAAGTAGCATCCAAGTGTGACGTTGTTTATCAAACCCGAATCCAGAGAGAGCGGTTCGGAGAAAGGCTTGACCTTTATGAAGCAGCTCGTGGGAAGTATATCGTAGACAAGGATCTGTTAGGAGTGATGCAGAAAAATGCTGTTATCATGCATCCTTTACCGAGATTGGATGAAGTGAGTCGATACACTATCTTCTTTTTTTTTTTTTTTTTTGTCTCTATGAGACCACACGACACAATCCTCAGTCTCTGTTATTATGTTTGCTCAGATCACTCCAGATGTTGACGCTGATCCAAGAGCTGCCTACTTCAGACAAGCAAAGAACGGTTTGTTTATTAGAATGGCTCTTCTAAAGCTCCTGCTTGTTGGCTGGTGATGGATGATCCTCAAGGTATATCCTGAAATGAACTGAATCTCAAGTTTGTGACAAGAGGATTAGTCCCGGCTCTAACCCATGGCGAGAGAGACGACGGCCTAGGGGTCCAAGGAATTTTTTTTTTTTTTAATGTTTTAAATTTGATAAAAAAGACTCATGATCTATTATCCTTTTTGTTTACAGCAAGCCCTTAATCTATTATCTATATAGAGAAATAAGTAAGACCCATAATCTAAACTTATTATGCATTCTCAATTATCACATATTTTTGGTTTATCTCATTTTTATTAATCAATTTATAATTACTCATATATTAATTAAGGAGTTATTTTAGAAGTATACTTCTGTTCAGAAATTTTGCCCACTTGTGAAGAGAGAGAAAAGTTTAGTTTAACTGTATACTTTTCGATTATTACGGATTTGGCCCTCCTTCTCTTAAATTGGTCTGAGAGAGGTTTCACACTCCCTTTACAATTTGGAATTAGTTAATTAATCAATTAATTGTTATTATTAAGCAAGCAAATATAACACATGGGATTTTCCGTCTCTTCTGTCCAAATCCCAGCGGCAAGTCTTTGACGCCATTCTCAGATTCACGACACCAGTTCGTGATAAACTTCGAGCCCAGGTATATCTCGCTCTCCCATAAACCCTAATTTCGAATTGTAATTCGATCGTTAAAGTAGAAGTCTCACGCAATTCACATGTTCTTTTCTTTTTTGTTTTGCCCCCTCATTAATCCCGTTCAGCTGCAGCTCGGAAAAATTGGAACTTTACTGCATAAAGTTTAGTTTTTTAATTTTGATTTTGGAGATGATTGGGAATCCGGTAATTCAAGTCCCATCATCACTAATGCCATCATCTTCCATGATTGCTTGCCCTCGAGCTTCTCCCAATGGGCTTCCTTATCTCCCACCGAAACCTAGAACTAGGCATTTACTGGTCAGAGCTGCATCCAATTCCGACGCCGGACATACTCAACCATCGTCTGATGAAGGGAAGAATCCGCTCACGGTTGTTTTGGATGTGCCTAGGAATATATGGAGACAGACTTTAAGACCTCTGAGTGATTTTGGGTTTGGTAAGAGAAGCGTTTGGGAAGGTGGAGTTGGTTTGTTTATCGTCTCTGGAGCAACACTTCTTGCTCTTAGCTGGGCTTGGTTGCGAGGGTTTCAAATGCGGTCCAAGTTCAGGAAATATCAGACCGTGTTTGAGCTTAGTCAAGCCTCTGGCATATGCACGGGAACACCAGTTAGGATCCGTGGTGTGACCGTTGGTACGGTTATTCGTGTTAATCCTTCCTTGAAGAACATTGAAGCTGTTGCTGAGGTATGGTTTTGGTGTTTTGATCTGGTTTTGACAGTGACATCTGTTTCTTATGTGTTGGGGTCTTGTGTTTTTGTAGATTGAGGATGATAAGATTATCATCCCTAAGAATTCACTGGTTGAGGTGAATCAGTCTGGTCTTCTAATGGAAACTATGATCGACATAACGCCGAGGGATCCAATACCGGAACCTTCAATAGGGCCTCTGCATCCGGATTGTGGTGAAGAAGGTCTGATTGTTTGTGATAGGCAGAAGATAAAGGGAGAGCAAGGAGTGAGTTTAGATGCACTAGTTGGAATATTCACTCGTATTGGACGTGAAGTAGAGGAGATTGGTGTTGCTAATACTTATTCGCTTGCTGAGAGAGCTGCGTCAGTTATTGAAGAAGCAAAACCATTGCTCAGAAAGGTGATATGAGTATTTTTGGTGGCCTTTGCTGGATCTAATTTATACTAATTCAAAAAAAGTTTCAATACTCTTAAGATTGAAAAGAAAAGATGGATTCTCATGCGTAAGCGTTTGGTTTTGATGTAGTACTGTCACAGATTCAAGCCATGGCTGAAGATGCTCAACCTTTGCTCTCTGAGTTTCGTGATAGCGGCTTGCTCAAGGAAGTTGAGTATCTAACTCGAAGCCTGACCCAAGCTTCTGACGATTTGAGGTAATGGCTCTTACTCTCCAGAATTTGGCTTTGGATACTAATAGTCTTGGCGTTATTGATTATTGTACATCTGTAAAGCCACTTTAAGATAGTTCTCTGAGAAAGTTCACAGTGCAAGTGTCAAACAATTCCCAACCTCATTATAGAAATAGACAATAAGGTAGAGGTAATAGCACGGTCTTAAACCATACATCATGTAGAACAAATTTAATTGCATCTCAGCTTTTATTACATTCCGTGGCTTGACAATCTATTTGTGGACTAACTTTAGAACAAGATTTAGATACTAATGTAAAAGCCCGTTTAGGTACTAATGTCTGACTGAGAGATAAACTTGGTGATTAGATAATATGGTAGAAGACTGAGAATGTAATTTTCTTGACCAGAATTTCTTACATAAGACAGAAAAAATTTCTTTTGCATTGTTGTTACATTGCAGAAAGGTTCATTCGTCGATTATAACACCTGAGAATACAGAACTAATTCAGAAGTCAATCTACACTTTGGTTTACACTTTGAAGAACGTCGAGGTAAACTATGTTCTTCGTATACAAATATCAGACAAAATGTAGAAGCTTTGACAAGTTAAAAGGAAAAAAAAATGTTAACATGGTTATTTTTTCTGATTTTTTCATTGTAGAGCATAAGCTCAGATATTCTTGGATTCACAGGCGATGAGGCCACAAGAAAAAACCTTAAACTGCTCATCAAATCCCTCAGTAGGCTATTATAATCTGCATGGAGAAACAACTAAGATTTTTAGCCTGGTTAAAAAAAATGAAGGTGAGAGCAAGTTGATTTGTTTTTCACAAAAAAAAATGTGTGTTCTTATTTAGAGAATTTATATTTCTTTTAATTGAATTGGATTAAAACGAGAGAGTCGAATTCAGTTTATACGAACAGATCTGTGTTTCTGCATTAATGCATTTCCTCAACAGCATTTACTTTTCACACGGGAGAGACGACGATGACGATAAGCGCGTCTCGTTTCGTGTAGGGTCCCAACGAAAGAGAAGACCTCACTTAATAATTTCGAGGCTAGCTATTATATATAGTATGATTATTAATTCAAATATAAAAAATAAATATAATAGACGAGGGTGTTTTAGTCATTATGGTGGACTGTTTGGTCTTTAAGCGATTAATAATAAACTAATATAGTGGTCAGGGTCAGGACAGAGAGAGCAAGTGCTTACCCTCTTTTGCTTTCTTCGCATTTCGAGACATCTCTTTTGTGAACTCTTTTCTAAGTCTTTTAGATTTTGGTTTTAAACCCGAAAATGAAAATCGTTTTTCTCAACATTACATATATCGAATAAAAAAGTTTAAAGCATAAAGAAAAAAGAATCGAAGTTTGAGAAAATGATGCTCCATAATAAATAAAATAAAACGAATTGGTCGGTCTTGTGGGACGGGCGTGAAGGTAGAGAACAAATCGAGAGGAAGAAAAAAAAAAGAGAGGGAAAAAAGCTAATTCCAACCATAAATAAATAAAATAAAAATTTATTAAAAAAAAAGAAATTATTTTTAATATATTTTTTTTTCAAAAATGGCTTTATGCTGAAGAGAGATTTTTTCCAATCGCTACCCTTGTTCCTCCATCTTCCTCATCTTTCCTCTTTTTCAACAATTTTCCTTCTTCTTCTTCTTCACACACACAGATCTCTTCTCCATCAACATTACTCGTGGTTTTGCATCTTCTTCTTCTCCATGAGGAAAGGGAGAGGCTCTTCCATCGCTGGACCCGCCCTTCCCGTACCCGCCGGTAACCACAACGGATCTGTCAAGGAGCCAAGATATAGAGGCGTTAGGAAGAGACCTTGGGGCCGTTTCGCGGCAGAGATCCGTGATCCGTTAAAGAAATCTCGAGTTTGGCTCGGTACTTTCGATTCCGCCGAGGATGCCGCTCGAGCCTACGATGCCGCCGCTCGTAACCTCCGTGGTCCAAAGGCCAAGACCAATTTCCCGATCGATTGTTCACCTTCTTCTCCTCTCCAACCACTCAATTACCAGAATCATCAGAATCAGAACATGTGCTCTGCTTCTCCTTTCGCGGCGAATCAGAGCCAGATCGATCCGTTTATGGACCACCGGTTATACGGCGGAGGAAACTTCCAGGACCAGCAGATTATTATCAGTCGGCCGGCGAGTAGCAGCATGAGCAGCACCGTCAAATCGTTTAGTGGACCGAGGCCGACGACGATTGAAGCGGCGTCTTCCTCCGTGGCTAAGCCGTTGCCTGCGACGAAGAGGTATCCGCGGACTCCACCGGTGGCTCCGGAGGATTGTCACAGCGATTGCGATTCGTCTTCGTCGGTTGTTGACGACGGTGACGATATCGCTTCTTCGTCTTCGCGCCGGAAACCGCCGTTTCAGTTTGATCTTAATTTTCCGCCGTTGGATGGCGTTGACTTGTTCGCCGGCACTGACGATCTCCACTGCACCGATCTACGTCTCTGATCTTGAGGGTAAAAAAAAACCAACAAGATCCAATGATTTACAACAAAAAAATCTCCAATTTTCAAAAGAACTTTTTTCTTCATTTCCTTTGATCTCATATTGAAAGTAAAAAAAGAACGATAAATAAAAAAAAAGGATGAAAAAAAAAAAGTGAGCATGATGATTCTGTCATTGTGAATTACATCGACAATGAAGATAATGACGATAAAGAGCGAGAGAGAGAGAGCTTGTGTTAAGATCTGTTACTGTAAGAACCAGATCTGGGTTTCATTTGTCTGTTTCTTATATAGATCAACCCTTTGTTACTTGTAACATTCTATAGCTGATGATTCTAAGTGATCCAATTCCAAAATCTGTAGATTTCTCTTCATCATTAGAGTATCCCTGATGTGCTTATGGTTTGGAGTAGGAAGCTGCATTTTCACATATACATTGCTATGTTACACAACCACAAAGGATACAAACTCTTGTTTGTCCTTTGTCCTTGTCAGGGTTTCTATTCAAGAAGTAAACATAACTGCTTCTTGTGACTGAGTTTTGGCTCTGAGATGGAAGCAAGCTACGTGTCAAAGGCAGACGATTTTTAAGTTTTTTGACCTTGTGCTAAGGAGCTAGAAGGAAGAAAGATGGTGAAGTTCCTTGGCCACCTAATTGGGGTGATTCGAAGAAAGAAGTTGGAATACTCATTGTCATTGCTAAGCCAGAAGTTTTTTTCATTCATCTCTTTAGATGCAGCAGGAACACAAGAAAGGCTTTCCCTTTCGTGTACCCAATCAACGTTTGGGTTTTGAACAACAGAGAGATGGGAATGGTCAATGTGGTGGTGATTTATTTGGGTGATCGATAAAGCTCAATGGACAAAGGCCAAATCTTTAGGTTAAAGTTTGGTGGCTGAGATGATGTTGATCTGTAAATGCTGTTGGGGTGGTAGAATTCGTTGTGTGTTTGACCATTTGATTACAATTTGCTGGTCGAGTTGTTCCAGATTTGGTATCTACGTACTTTGCTTCTCTGCCACGGATCCAGACAGTGAATCTTTATGTTTGAAGCAAAAATCGAGCTTTTTTACTGTTTGAGGGTAGGGCTTCTTCTGGTAAAAAGATATTGTGGAATATAAGAAGTCATGATGATGCCTTGTTCTTTACTATAAAGATTTATTACTTTGAACCAATCTCAACTCTCAAGTCGCTTTCTTTTTGGGTTCGAATTTTGGTAAAAAAAAAATTAAAAAAACCTGAATTTGGAATTTTGAGATTGTGATTTATCTTCAAAATTTATGGAACTGAGACTAATATACAGTGATCTCCTTTGATCAAAAAAAATAGAGCCTAATATACAATGATCTCTTCCTATTATGATCTTTCGAGAACTGAGGGTTTCGACCGTTAGTATATTTAGAAACAGAAACAGAATAATATTTTTGTGAAAATTAATTTTTTGAACTGAGGGTTTCGAGAACTTGATATTTTAATTATGCCTTTTTACAAAAAAACAAATATTTTAATTTGATTTATCTGTTTTATTTATTTTTAAAAATTAATAAAATAATATATTTAAATTTTATTTTTAAAATAAAGTTCGAAAAATTCAAATTTTAATTTAGTTAGTTTAGATTTTTTTTAGATATATGTTAGATTAATTATTAAAATTACAAAAATCAGTTGTTATTTTTATAAAAATCAAAAATAAAATATTAATTTATGTTAGATTAAAATATTTAAATTTAAATAATATTTTCATAATGACAAAAATGCTAAATGATATGTTATTTCTATACTTTTCACTATCAATTTTATTTTTAAAAATAGTTTAGAAAAAAATAAATTCTAATTTAATTAGTTTAGATTTTCTTAGATATATAGATTAGTTTAAATATTTAAGAATTTAAAAATAAAAAATCTTTATATTATATGGTAATATGATCGGATAAGGTAGAATTATATTTTTATATTTATGATCGAGTTAAAAATTATTGTTTTATAGATTAATCGAATGAGTTAAAATTATTGTTTTATATTTCTGGTGAAATTATCAAAATAAATGAATTTAAAAAATAAATTTATCTAAATACAATATATATTTGTGTCATTTATTAAAAAGTATTATATTTATAGAAAACACAAATAATATTATTATAAAATTTGATTAAAAATATAATTTTTTGTGCAAATGCATAATGTAGAATCTAGTTTATTTTTGTAATTTGTTTATGTAAAATTTTGTTTTCACTGATTTGGTTAACCCTTTTCATTTACAAACACATGTTGGGAAAAGAACCCATCAAATATATATAATCAACTAAACTATTAATTATGTATTGATAAACCTATTAAGACGTATTTTGTTGGAAAAATAAGATTGCAGACAAACGTCTGAAACATGTATAAACAAAATTTAATAGAAATGGCTTAGTGGCCTTGCGTGTTCTGAGCACGATTTGTATTTCTGTGACAGAAATTCTGTCAGCCCATAAAAGCTTATGCCGGCCCGTTTCTACTCTTTACTTGAAAAGTAATATTCAATTTAGTCACGAAATTACCTCTAATACCATATCAGACTTTTCAGCCGTTGCCATTTTTTTTTCTTTATGAAGATGAGTCTATCAAAAAGAAAAAAAAAATTGAGGGGGTTATGAGTTTTAGACTTTCAGTTGTACATATGTTGATCATTGCTATTTGCTAATATGTAGACAGACATAAATTAGTTTCTATTCAAATCTCAAATAAAAAGTCAATGTGATAAAAGACCAACCAAATGTTTTCAACCAAAAACTTAACTGGTCATCTAACCACACAAAAACATCAACGCATATGCGAATCTATATACCATAGAAAATTTTGTAGTTGATATGACATATAACAAAGCTTCAAGTTTAATGTGTTCGATTTTTTTTTCCTTTTTCTTAAATCATTGTTTTACTGTTTAGCTGCAAATTATCACTTATTAATAAATATTTATGGATCTCTTTCTCTCTCTTTCTTCATCTGAGGATTTTATTGATGTTGATTACACAAATCATACAAAGCGGCAAAAGTCAAAACCATTTTGAAGACTAAACCAGTAGGATCCTAAATTTTTCCGCAGATAGAGTCGATGGATAATTAACTCTCTCCAAGATCAAACACTAAACCAAAATAAGAAGTTAAAGATTTGTAGTCGATCCATGTACACATACAATTTCGAAAACAATTTTTAATCAAAATCCAACATTATATTGCGGTGTTGATGCTTGAACAAAAATTCGTAAATCAAACAATTCCACATATGTAGTTAACAATCGAAAAGATGTTGCAATCTATCTATTTCAAGAAAACAATGACGAATATATTAAAATCCTTAAAGTATTGACTTTAGGATATTAAAAAAGTTTTCGTTTGCCCACTACGCAGACACGAATGGATAGCCATTCACAAGGTCACAAGCAATCAAACCAAGCCCATGAATTATTCGAATAAATTCAATTATTATAAATTTTGTTTATTTGAACTTATACATTCGATCACCCATCCAATAAACTTAAGACATGCCGCCGGGGACTTCAAATTCTTTAAGTGATCGTATCATTGAAAATTAAGGGAACAAGTTGGGAGTGTTAATTTATCCTTTGTTTAAGATATCAAATTAATTTAATGGTAATTAGGAACAGCTTAACAATATACGTGGCGCCGTATACCTACGGTGATTTGCGGAATCTACGGCCTAAATTTTACACATCACATGTCAATGTCTACAGCCTGTTTGTTCTATTGTTCACTAGCATCTTGTCTTTTTGCATCTCTTCATGTTTTTCAAATACTTATTCATTGCCACGTATTTCTTTCCCGCCGATAAATTGATAATATTTTAATATGTAAGCCTATAAGACAACTAAGGAATTTATCCTTGCTTTTAAAAATAAGAAATGTGGACAATTACACTGATTACATCAATTGAGTCTTCAAATTTTGATAAATTTAACATGTTCTACAATAAGCTGCATGCTAGTAAGGTTTTAAATAAATAATAACAAAAAAAAAATTGAGCGCACACTTACTTCTAGTTGATAACCAAAAATCTAGATTTTTTTTCTTCTAAATTTCCATAATAAAAGTACTTTATCAGCGATACCCCCGTGTCTGTCAAATCATGATTTTCTCATGAACATTTAAAGCCTTTTCTCAAAAAAGAAAAAAGGATTTTCTCATGAGCACAAATCTACATTTCTTTTTGTTTTAATGCGAAACAAAAGTCAATCTTACAATGGTAGTGCACAAAATCGTCTGTTAAACCCACATTTTAGACGTTGACAAAAATAATGGTTAGACTTTCTATTTTGATATCCTCATCATTATCAAAAAAAGTATATATATAACCCTCAGTAACCGAGAATAATAAATGCTATTACAAATACTCAAAAATTTTCATATATTCATTCCAGTCAAAACTAAAACTGAATTTTTAATTTGGAAACTAGAAAAGTTAGATACTTAGATTAACAGATCAGTATTCAATAAACTTCTAAGCCACGAAATTTGGTCATCACTTTAAGTAATTATCTCTCTCTAAACCTTATTTAAAGAATAAAAAACATCACTTATACAACATAAAACCTATATATCATATAAAACAAATACACATCTTAAATCTTCTAAAATATCATAGTAACTGCTTTAGAATTAAGTTTATAACTAATTGGTGATGATCTAATGGTTCACTTTAAATATTTTTTTTGGTTGAGTTCAAACCTGTTTCAAAGAAATTTTTAATAGCAAAAAAAATATAAATTCTTATAAACCTCGAAAAATTAGTCTAAGTTCTTACTTGAGATATCCCGATTAAGATATAAAATAATAATACGACAAAAATATAAAATAATAATAAAATTAGTTTTATACAATTTTTTGAACAATGGTTTTATATGTCAAAGCCACGTTAGCATCAATCATTTATAAATAACCTTAACGATTTTAGCTATTCCTGATTCTGCCTTCTTCTTCCAACCGCGTCATCAATCGAGATCATTTTTTTTTAAAAAAATACCAAAATAGAGAAGAAGAAAAAAAAAAAAACAGAGAGCCTCTCGTCTAATTTCTCGGAGCCTTTCTTAATCAATCTCCCCGAGCGATCGTCCATGGCGGACATCGACATCGGAACCGCAGCAGGAGGCGACGGAGGAGGAAGACGACGAGAGCCATTGATTAACCGAGAAAACAAGTTCACGCGTTGCGTGTCGCACGCGCAGGACGAGCTCCAGAGTTTCCGGAAATATCTGAGATGGATGTGCGTGGATCAGTCGAGCCCATGGACGGCTGCTCTCTCTTGGTCGATGTTCGTTTTCTTCACGCTCGTCGTTCCGGTGACCTCTCACTTCATGCTCGCTTGCGCCGACTGCGATAGCCATCACTCGAGGCCGTACGATTCCGTGGTTCAGCTTTCTCTCAGCAGCTTCGCTGCCCTTTCTTTCCTCTGTCTCTCCAGATTCGTCAGCAAGTATGGTCTCCGACGGTTCCTCTTCTTCGATAAGCTCTGGGACGAGAGCGAGACTGTTCGCCGAGGCTACACCAATCAGCTCAACGTGAGTTTTTTTTTGTTGCTCATTTTCGATTCCAGGATTTTCGAATTTCGCATCATTGATTGGCTTCTGGAAATCTGGGTTTTGATTTGTTGTTACCAAATTGAATTTGGGTTTTTGATTGTCGGTGGAATCGCTCGATTTTGGGAATTTGTGGCCTACCATTGGAAAATTTAAAACAGGTCACGAGGATCATTTTGGTTTCTTCCTCATATGTCGATCCGAAAAGTTTGAATCTGTCGTTTTCTGTAGAAATTTTTGATCAATTCAAAATCTGGAAACGAATTTAGCTGCATCTGGACTTTACAGTAAAACCCATTTGCGTCTCGATCCAGAAGCAATAAATCTTAGGATTTTCATAAGTCTTCCTATAGCTGTGTAATTTGAATCGCTCTCTTTTTACTTGTTCCACAAGCATTATACTCTTTAGCTTTGTTTTATGGAATTAGCCTGTAGCACCATGTTTATAACTTTCTCTGAAATCACTACTCTTTGTCATGCAGAGATCGCTTAAGATTCTCTCCTACTTCGTCACTCCATGTTTCTTAGCGATGAGCGCATACAAGATATGGTGGTACGCTTCAGGCGCATCTCAGATTCCTTTCCTCGGTAACGTTATCTTGAGTGATACAGTCGCTTGTATGATGGAGCTCTGCTCGTGGCTATACCGAACTACCGTGATCTTCCTTGTTTGTGTCCTCTTCCGTCTCATCTGCCATCTTCAGATCCTTAGGCTACAAGACTTTGCTCAGGTCTTCCAGATGGATTCAGACGTTGGTTCCATCTTGTCTGAACATCTCCGCATCAGACGTCACTTGAGAATCATCAGCCACAGATACCGAACCTTCATATTGTTGTCATTGATTCTTGTCACTGGCAGTCAGTTTTACTCTCTGCTTATCACCACTAAGGCATATGCTGAATTGAATATCTACAGAGCTGGAGAACTAGCAGTGAGTTTTGTTTTACTTTCTATTTGATCTTGATGACAAATTTTGCTTCTTTAACCATTTGCTTACTCTTGATTCTTGTACGCATTTTAGCTATGTTCAATGACGCTGGTCACTGCGCTGCTCATTCTATTACGAAGTGCCTCAAAGATCACACACAAGGCTCAGGCGGTGACTTGCCTTGCAGCCAAATGGCATGTCTGCGCGACAATAGAATCTTTTGAGACAGTGGATGGAGAGACTCCAAGGCTTGTTGATAGAGCAAGCGGACACGGGTTCTATTCAACAGATGTTGATACTGGAGATACAGACGACAGTGAGGATTATGGAGATGAAGAAGATGATTTCGATAACAACGATCTCATCCCTGCTTATGCTTATAGTACCATATCGTTCCAAAAGCGACAAGCTCTAGGTACATATATAGATATATGCCTCTGCATCCACACCAAATCTCACATCTATTTGCTATATATACTCATCTTCAAAACATTTTGTTGGATTTTGCAGTGAATTACTTTGAGAACAATAGAGCAGGAATCACGGTGTTTGGTTTTACACTCGACAGAAGTACTCTTCATACGATATTTGGGATTGAAATGTCGCTTGTTCTCTGGCTTTTGGGTAAGACCATTGGGATTTCTTGAATCATTCTTCTTGAATCATTCTTTGGATCATAAAAGCTCTCAAAGTTTTGGCTCCCTTGTTGGAGGAGGATCCTGCTATTTATGTGTACACAAGAGGCTCTCTGTAACATATAACATTTCCTAATTTTGTTCTTTCTATCACTGTAAATCATCTTGTTTGTTCTTTAATATGTCGATTTTGTAATAGATTTCATGTGTTAAACGAGATATCTTACAGTAAATTAGATTGGTCTTCAACTTTTATGTCTTTGTAGTTATCTTTGTTTTGTGATTTTGATTGAACTTGTTATATACAGTATTTTAATTTGTGATATTGCTTGCTAAATCTGCTTTCCACATTACTCAGTCAATTTACTTTGGAACTTAAGTACAAATTACAAATCGCTCTGGAATCTCAGATACCAAATTTCTAAAATATATGGTACGTTTATGGTATTAAAAACTAATAAGACTCTTTTGTTTTGCTGGTAATAAATTAAAATTAAAACAAAAACCTGATTAGGTGTAAATAAATCATTCAGTAACATCAGATTTCTCAAATTCTTTAAACAAGTTTCCTCATTTTTATTTAAAATCTGAAGTATTTAGTAATTACCATGTTGGGAAAAAGGTACGTATCTAGTATTTACGATTTACCATGTTGAGAAAAAGGGTACGTATCTAGTATATTTACCATGTTGGCAAAAACAGAGTATTTACCGTCACTTATTAAAGCAACCACTCTTTATTGCTTATGGACAAGCAGCAACTATAATATTAATTGAGTCGAGACAGAAAATCTTTCGCATCGATATTGGGTTATTGTGACAAATCAACAGTATTGGGGCAAATGTGAAACTTTATGAAAATAGAGGGTCGTCCTTTGCATTGCTAATTCTCTTTCCCCTCCCTTGCTGTCGAGACGAAGAACCCGCTTTCTCTGAAACCGTAATCTCACGTATACAAAACGGACTTTTTTGTTTTTGTTTTTGCTTACCTTCTCCTTTTAACTTCAATATCTGCAAATCCTCAAATCTGGATTCACACCTGAGAAGTTTGTTAATATAGTTTTTTCCAATCGGAGATGGAGATCGATTCCATCGCAGCTGGCTCTTGTTCCAAAGAGAATCAAATGATCTACAAGGAGTGGTTCGAATTCGCCGATTCAGGTCTCATTTGATTTAGTCATTTTTTTCTTCAATCTACGATTTTTTCCTTATTCAATTTATGCGCTAAGAGCTTCTTTGTCTGGTGAAATGAGCAGACGGCGATGGCCGCATCACTGGTAACGATGCGATCAAGTTCTTCTCTATGTCGAATTTGCCTCGACCGGAGTTGAAGCAGGTAAGGTTTTGTGTTGAATTGATTGCTTTGGTTACTTGTGGAATCTTCTTATTAATAAGTTGAATTATTGCCGCTATTATTCTCTGGGGTTTATCCAATGATTGAACAAGTTCACTTGAGGATAGAGAAGATGCTATGCTGATAGTTTACTTAAAAAGTCAATATTTAAGAGGAAACACATGATTGATTGATTGAATGGTATTGATTTCTGAAGCAAAGGCTCAATAGCTTTATCCCAAGTAATAATTGTTTGTGATCATGCTCTACACAGAGTTATGTGGTCGCAGGATTTTGGGGGTTTATGATATTGTTGTGTGTAATTGGTCACTTGGCAAAGCATTTAGATGCCATCTCATGTCAATTTTCTAAAAGATGCTAACAGTGAAGCTAATGCTTCTTCTCTTCTGACTTTATGATAGGTCTGGGCAATTGCAGATGCAAAGAGACAGGGGTATCTCGGTTTCAAAGAGTTTATTGTTGCTATGCAGGTTGAGTTCCATTTTACATCTCTCATTTAAAATGTCTATGTCTCGCTGTGAATTCTAATCTATTGTTACTTTCCAACATTATAGCTCGTTTCTTTGGCTCAAACTGGACATGAAATATCGCATGAAGTTCTTCATAGCGACGGTAAAGGGATAAAAGCATGAGTCCTTATTTTGTTTCTTTTCCGAAGTCACGCTTAAGTGCTGTCTTCATCTCAATATGCTCACTGTATACTATTTTCCTAGGGCTATCCTTTTTTCCACAGTTAATATATTGTTCTTGTTTCTGAAACATTTCTGGCTTATTGCAGTTGATTTCAAAAATATGAATCCTCCCATCATGGAAGGTCTGGGTGTATTGATGGCGGTTAGTATTGGGCCTGCAATTTCCAATTTATGTGTTTCGAGTTTGAGTAAATATTACTTACAGCTGTTCATTTAACACAGAAGAAGAAGCATTCATCAAAATCAAGTGATCCTAGTGTGAATGGTACAAAGAATTTCGTTGTACTAGACCCAGTGGTTTAAATTTTGTAATTTTGTATCTCATTTGATTCAAATTACTCAGGTAGTCCTGCTGCAGATACATCACTTACAGCTCATTGGTTCTCTTCAAAATCTTCAAAAAAGGTTTGTTTTGCTCCACGCAGTCTATTTAACCACCAACCATTTATTGCCTTCCGTATACTCCCATATTTGGTAAATATTTTACTGGTTCTCCTCAAGATCATTGGTGGAGTTTCTGTCAAGTTTTTCGTAGCTATTAGTTAATAACTGTTTTAGTTAATTTAAATCTATAGTTTGTGTAAACTGAATATTATTTTGTTCTCAGATTTCTCTGTCCTCCGTAACATCTATAGTCGATGGCTTGAAGAGGTTATACATTCAGAAGCTGAAGCCACTTGAAGTTGCTTATCGGTTTAACGATTTTGTATCCCCTTTGTTGGTAAGTTAGGCACTGTTTATTGGTACTCTTATAACAACAATTCTCTTAAGTTCCAAATTCTATCGAGTTGTAAACTATATTGACCATTGAACTAATTACTTGTGTTTTGCTTAGACCAACAGTGATTTCGATGCGAAACCTATGGTAATGCTTCTGGGTCAGTACTCCACAGGAAAAACAACATTCATTAAGCATTTGCTTAAAGCTAATTATCCAGGCAAGTTGTCCATCTTATCCTCTCTCCTTCTCGTTCGGGGACCTAACTACTTTTGATGTTTAATAAGAATTACTAACAGGTCAATGATTAACCATAAAACAGCTTCTTATAACCTCAACTACTATATTTTTCAGGAGCTCATATTGGACCAGAACCAACAACTGACAGATTTGTCGTTGTCATGGTATGTTTATTTGTAATTCGCCATGGTTTCATTTGTGAGAGGATGTAACGTTGATCCATCATCTTCCGCTATACAATGTGGTTGACAATGGTAGCTAGATTACTTCATTATCACTTCTCTTGATGGGTGACTTCGATCTGTTTATTGTGTTTCACAGTCTGGACCTGATGAAAGAAGCATTCCAGGGAACACAGTAGCAGTTCAAGCAGATATGCCATTCAGTGGTCTTACAACTTTTGGAACTGCCTTCTTGTCGAAGTTTGAATGCTCTCAGATGCCTCACCCTGTATGCTTAACCTCATGCTTCCAAAAAGAGATTGTTCTTTGTTTTACTCATATTAATTTGCTGATAATTGTTGGTCTACTCATCTCTGTTGAAGCTGCTGGAGCACGTAACATTTGTCGACACTCCCGGAGTTTTATCAGGGGAAAAGCAACGGACACAGCGAGCATATGAATTCACCGGTGTCACATCATGGTTTGCCTCTAAGTGCGATCTCATCCTCCTCCTATTTGACCCACACAAGCTGGATGTAAGCGATGAGTTCAAGCGTGTTATTTCATCTTTACGCGGTCATGATGACAAGATCCGCGTTGTTCTAAATAAGGCAGACCAAGTCGACACTCAGCAGGTTGAAGCCAAAATCTGTTACCGATTCTTATTTTGTTCCTTATTTCCTTATTGTTCTCCATGTTCTAATACCTTGACGCCTGTCTCCATATCTTGTATAGCTGATGAGGGTGTATGGAGCTCTCATGTGGTCACTTGGGAAAGTTCTCAATACTCCTGAGGTTGTCCGTGTCTACATTGGGTAAGTGTACATGTTTTTTCCAACTCATTGGCAGTGTTTTGCTTTGTGTGAAACTGAAATCTATGTTTTGATGTCCTTGTTTGCCTGCTTTGTACAGTTCGTTCAGTGATAAACCCATAAACGAAGCTGCGACAGGTCCAATTGGGAGAGAATTATTTGAAATGGAGCAAGATGACCTTCTCTCTGATTTGAAAGACATTCCAAAAAAAGCCTGTGATCGTCGAGTGAGTGTGAACCGTTCAACTTTCACTTTCTCCCGGCCTCCGATTGGATCTAACCGTGATATTTCCTGTATAACAGATAAACGAGTTTGTGAAACGGGCAAGAGCTGCAAAGATACATGCGTACATCATCAGCCATTTGAAGAAGGAGATGCCAGCCATAATGGGAAAAGCCAAAGCTCAACAGAAACTGATAGATAACTTGGAAGACGTGTTTGGAAAGGTTGATCTGATTCCAAGGATCCTTACAATACAATATGCGAATTTCTGATTCTGAGAATCTTAATACCACCAATGCGTGTTTTGACCTTTGTGGGTGTGATATGAAAACAGGTACAAAGAGAGCATCATTTACCAAAAGGAGATTTCCCAAATGTGGAGCATTTCAGGGAGGTGCTAATTGGCTACAACATCGACAAGTTTGAGAAGCTAAAGCCGAAAATGTTGCAGACTGTTGATGATATGTTGGGGTATGACATTCCAGAGCTCTTGAAAAATTTCAGAAACCCTTATGATTAATTCTCTCTATCATCCCTTTGTTATCTATGTGGTTACAGTTAGTACTAAGTATACATTCACCTTTGGCTTAAAACTGCCCTTGTGAGCATAAATGCACATTTGTATTCTTAAAAGACTTTTGTAGGCAATAAAAGACATATAAAGAGTGCTGCTGACTTGATAATGGTGTATATCACAAAACATAAGTATTAAGCATCAAAAAATTAAATTTTTGGCTTCTTGGAAGACGTGTTTCCAATTAAAAATTAAAAAATTTTGGCTTCTTGGAAGACGTGTTAATCACTGTTGGTCTAAATCCGTTGTGGCTGAAGAGAATAGGTCAACTAACATAAGAACATGACCAGTAATACTTATCATCTACGAACAGTAACCTTAGCAAACTTTTAAGCAAGAAAACGACCTCGTTTACAATAAGAATTCTAATTTCTTGAGTATGGAGGGCTAATATACACTATAAATGTTGTAACATGTAATTTGTAAGTATGTAACAAGGAACATAAGAGAATTCGAACTAGTACCTGAGAAATAAATACATGCTGGTATTATGTCTTAGTTACAATTTACAGCAACGCAGCTAATAGAGAAATAGCAACAGCTTATTCACAAGTATCAATAACCTTGAGACCGCTCATATAAATTAAGAGGCTATATCGCTGCAGATCCTAACGCCACTTTTAGCATAGACTATCTCTGTGTTTTTGATCGTGAAACCGTGTGGAAATGGTAAAGGGAATCCTCTCTTAAGGCGTGTGTTTACGTATGGCAGAAATAAGGCTTCAAGAACCTTCGATGTCACATCCTAACAAGAGCAAGAAAAATCCAGTTTAGTGCCAAGCAAGAGTCTCAGTCTTAACTATATCAACATCTTTACTTTACCTGAATATAGTTTGCTTGAAGCTCACCGAGTCTACTCCACTTCATCGTTGCATTGAAATCTATTAGCCTGAGGCTACCTGCTAGATTGTTCTCTACAATTTCTGCAGAACACGCAACATTCAGAACCTGCAAATAAGAATCAGACTCTGGCTTTTAGTGATTAAGGACTTGCTTCTATAGTAGATTGTTTAGTGGGCATTATTATTATTAGCATACAGATGATATGCTTGCTACGGATAAGACTGCTCCAGAGTCTTGAACATCGATTGATATCTCTAAATGAATCGTAGCATCAATTCCATTCTCTGTGATGCTAACAGCAGGAGGAGATGTTACTGACATGTTCAGCATCATTTTAACATCTGGATATTGTTTGTAGAGCTCTGGAAGGATGAGTTTCCAGTCAGATGTGCTTAGACTTGACCCGTTCTTTGTTTCCTCGATATCCACATGCATCCGCTTTGCCTGGATCATACCAATCAAAAAGTTTGGTCCACTAAAATTCATCAATCAATCCATAGATCTATCAAACTTTTGAAACTTACATTGAAGTATACAAATGTTGCAGAGTTGAAAACTTCCTCTTCTATCGAAATTGCCACCATTCGTTTAACCCCACCAGAAAAGGATGAAGAACGAGATCCTGAAACTCTAACATCATCACCATTTGGCATGAATAAACCACTGATTTCAACTTCAACAGACGAATCACCCAAGACAGGGTTTCCTGTAAAAGTAAGATTCACTGCAACGTTGTCATCAATCTTTAAGTTTTTTGGAAGTGATTGCAATAAAGTATCAAGCTTCTTCATCTTCTCCAAAATTTTATTAGAAACAGTATTTTCAACTGTTGAAATAATCTTCTTTTCAAATGCATCAACCACCCTGTAAACAAAAAGAATAATAATAAAGTAACAATGTGTTGCATGCATGTCTTAAGAAACTGAGATTTGAAAACCTGTAAGTGATATTCAACAATACCCTTGATATAGCCAAGAAGCACCACCATTGATATGAATACCGATGCTTTTCACTTTACAATCACTTTCCCGCGAGGCAATCTTTAAACTTCCATTATCATCAACCAAAGTGACAGTGGTTTTCAAATCCATTCCTTTAACCTTCATCATCAGAATCATCATCAGCTGTTAAGCTTTTTTTCTTCTTCTGATGAAAAAGAATGTCAATGAGATGGACATAACAAAAGACCCAATTTGGTTTTCGATAATCTTCAGAACATAAAACGAACAAGACAAGAAAAAAAAAAAAAAATTCAAGAACCCACCTCAAAAAGCACATAACTTTACCTTAACAGAAGCATCTCCATGATCAGAAATCTTAAAGAAGGAAGCTTTATAAGCATAAGACCAATCCATGCTCAAATCTGCAGTCGCACCTGAAACACTCAAAACGATTCCATCTTCTCCAGTCTCAATCCTCGACGACTGAACATCAACCGCGTAAATCTGAATATTCGATAGACCCATCCCAACTTTCCCTATTAGAGGGATTTTAACCTTCTTCTCGATGTTTGGTAGCTGAATTGGAATCGTCGTGGATATCACTTCGTGGATGAAGAAATCTTTCGCGAATTCAAGACCGGTTTCAGAGACGAGCACGGAGATGTGTCCGACATCCTTGGATTGCGCCAAGGTCAGTGTCGCCGAGAGGAAGAGAACAAGAATCGTGAGAGCCATTTCGAAGAAGAAGACGAAGTAAGTAAATTGGAGTTTACAAACGTTTTTGCTAGTGAAGGGAAGAGATTAAAATAGTCAACAAAGAGTCGTTGTTGGGTTTGACTTTTTGTTTGTTTTGCTTAAGTAACCACGAATATTACATGGCCAAAGAATCTGCAGTTTTAGACGTCTTTCTTACAAAGATGCAGACTTTAGAATGACATTTTGGCTGAAGTTAGTTAATAGCCTAACCAAAGATATGGTATTGTTTGAAACTTCTTCTTGGCGATTCCTATTAGGTCGCAGTACTCTGAATGATCATCAAACAAGTCGCGGAAATCCACAAACAGTTTCTCAAACACTTTCCATTGGACTTTGATCGGTCTTGAATATGGATATGGAAGAAAACCCTGCACGCACTTATCAGAGAGTGAGTTAGTTATCTCCAAGGAAAAAAAGAGGTTTATGAGAACTTCAAGTTTTCCTCTCTTACGTCATATTCTTGCGCAATGGATTTCAGCACGGTAAACGTATGTTTCGTGTCCTCTAAATTGTCTAAAAGAGCCAGCCAAATCTTTGTCGCGAGCTCATCAGCTTCTTCTTTCGATTTGCCACAAACAATCAATTGGTCTGGCCAATCAGAACAAAAGATTAAATGTCATTAGCAGAGAACATTTGAGATTCTTTAAGCAGTGAATTTGCGTAATTACCGATCAGAGTTCCATGAAGAACCCCTGAAGCAGGCGTAGATGAAAGTTGAAGCTGATCTTTAAAGAACAAGTAAATATGTCCCAACATCTCATCTATGTCTGTATCAACATCTAGTATGTTTCTGCTGATGTATAAAGCCATAAATCTCCTGCAGCTAAAGAGGGCTATTGAGTTTCTTGAATCTAACCATAGACATTTCTAAAGAAAAACAAAATGTTCAGCTAGCTTTTCCATAGATATCAACCGTTTGCTTAATCCTTGCCGGATTGGTCCAGTCCATCTTTTAGTTTGGCTAGCAAGAGGATACGTCCGATGAAGAGCAGCTTGCCACAAGGATTCTCCTCGGAACAAATTAGCCCACTGTTTTCTAACACAAGATATTTGTTCCCACTCTGATATTGGGACTCTGATAATTATCTCTATCAAGATCTCCTCTGGAAGGTTTCCGAGTGGACTATCTTCATTTTTCGTCAACTCAACGTTGTTTTTATTTTGGTTCATTATGATTCTGCAAAATATATGTCACAAATAATACAGCAAACAGGAAATGACTCAACAGAAACTACACTCGGAGAAAAACATCACTTCACTCAATTCTTTTTTTTTAAAAATGATCACACTCAAATAAATTATTATACTGAATTTAACAGAACATTTTGAGTAGTTTTCATTTGGTAACTTAGTATACCAGGGAAAAGCATTACAACAGTCAAAAGGAGCAAAAGAGTAGCCAAACAAAGCACTAGCTGCTTATCAAGACAGCTCAAGCTTACTATAAGATTCTCAAACCTAGAAAAATCCAAACTATATACGAGCACTGGAGATGTTTGCATATGGAAACCGCAAATTAAAAAAAAAATCCATCTTTCAAAAAAAAAAAGAAAAATTAAACATATCCAACTTGCATAAGACAAACGACCAAAGCTAACTAGTTTTCCATAACCCAAAAGCATTTCCTCAGAGCTTACAGATAAATCGGGATACCAATTTGTTCAGTTTAAAGACCAAAGCAAGTTCAGTAAATATATCAAAAGCCCAGAGAATCTTTGAAAAACTCAAACTTTGATCGTTACCAGAATGGACTGCTCAACACAAACTACGAGACATGGCACAAATTGACACGGTTAAGATGATTTTCGGTTATATCAGCTGAGGAATATAATTGAAGCAGAAGTATAAATGTTTAATCAAACGACGATCGAATGAAGTTACCAGAAAGAAGTCAGTCCTTGAGAAGAAACGGGTTTGAGAGGAGAGAGAGAGAGAAAGAAACAGAGTCACACAAACAAAAGGGTAAATAAAAAATTAATTGAATCTCATCAAATTCATGACCAGATGCTCTCCGAGTCGGTTTACTCCGACCCCATTCAACCATACCAATTCGGTTTTATCAGAAGAAAAAGATAACCAATGTAGGGAGTAGCAGTGGGACTGATAGATGACTGATAAAAAAAGCCCAATAGAGTAAAAAGCCTAACATTTGGGAAAGCCCATATTTACATCGGAGAGCATAAGACAAACTCGTAGATATAGATAAGGAGGAGGGTCAAAGAGGTAAATTAGGAGGAGAGGGGGGCAAATGCAAGGACAACAGATTTCGCGGCTTTTCTGACAATATTCTCTGTACTGTTTTCTCCCAAATGGCCACTTAGTTCATAGATGATAGATCTCTCTTCTTCTCACTTCTCAGACCAAACCAAAAAGAGTAAAATACCTTTCTTTTTTTTTTTTTTTTTCAAATGATAATCATTTTCAATTAGGAATAAAAAACCTAAGGAAAAGTAAAAGATAATTTCGACACATGAGAAAAAAAAGGTCAGGTTGACCCATGGACGAATCTCTTTGTAAGGAGTTTTCAAGTTTTTGACCGGAAATGGAAAATTTTGAGGAAGGGGTATAATAAAAAAGAATAAAGATTATGTAGTTTCTTTTTGGAATTTGAAATCATAAGTTATTATTAATGAATTTAATGAGATCTGTTTAGAAATCAATACCCGTCCTCCTCCGTCTCTCACATTTATATTGTGCTTCCTCTTCCCCAATTACCCAAAAAAACTTGAATTGAGTTAAGCCATAAAAGCTTTCTCTTCCTCTCTCTCTCTTGCAAGTGGTTCAACATTTCTCTCATCTTTCAATTTAGTTTTGTTTACTTACTTAAATTTGTGTACTTTTTTTCTTTTCACTCACACTTTCTCAGTGTTAGTTTCAGTGGACTGTTTGTTGGGTTTAGCAGATAATGCGAGCAAGAGACTAATCGAATCTGAAGTTTCAGACAAATGCTGTTGTTGATCTTGTGGAAATTTTCTTTTTTTCAAAGTCTTTTCATTTTCTGTCTGTCTGTCTCTCTGATTCTCTAGGGCTTTATTTTTTGGGTCATGATTCTGTGAGATCTTTCTAGATTCATTCATTTTCCCCCATTTTGTGGTTTGGTTAATTCTTTGATTCCTTAGAAACTGTTAAAGTCCGTTGTGGCTGAAGAGAAACGCCAAAAATAATCTCTTTTTATTTTTTGCTCATGCAAAGAAATCTGAATTTAGATCTAAGGATTTAAACCAAAGACACTCCTCCAAGTGGTTTTTGAGGAAATGGATTTCTTGAAAGTCAGAAAATTTCGAAAGTCCAGGAAGCCAAACCTAGAAAAGGAGAAACAGGAGCAAGAGCTAGCAAGGAGTGAGAACACTGTAGCTGGTGTGACAGATTCGGCAAAAGCAGATGAGATCGAAGATGACGACGATGATTTCATTACCAATGAGGTTAAGAGAAGGCTTAAGGAGTTGAGGAGAAACAGTTTCATGGTGTTGATACCTGAAGAAGATGAAGAGGAAGAAGAGGAATCTTATTTAGGAGAAGATGAGGGAGAAGACAAGTGTTCAAGTGAGTGGAGAGATGTGGTCGCTGAAGGACTTCAATGGTGGGGAGGTTTTGATGCTGTCTATGAAAAGTATTGCGAGCGTATGCTCTTCTTTGATCGCTTAAGCTCTCAGCAGCTCAAAGAAACTGGTAAAAAAGCTTCTTTGCTTTGTTCTCTTATCTTCAGTGGTTAAGCTAAAATGGACTGATCTCTTAACACTAGGATTGTAAAATGCCTTAACTTTGCTCTTCAATTACGCATTGTTCTTCCATTGATAGTAATTCTTCACTTTCTTAGGCATTGGAATTGCTCCAAGTCCTTCAACTCCATCGCCAAGATCTGCATCGAAGAAGCTGTCATCTCCTTTTCGATGTCTTTCCCTGAAAAAAACCGATGTTCCCGAGGAAGATATCGAGCATTTGCAGGAGGCAGAGATGGACCCTTATCAGGATCTAGAGATAGCTTATGTTGCTCAACTCTGCCTCACTTGGGAGGCACTTCATTGTCAATACACGCAGCTGAGCCACTTAATCTCATGCCAACCCGAGACCCAGACTTGCTACAACCACACTGCTCAACACTTTCAGCAATTCCTGGTCTTACTACAGAGGTATATAGAGAATGAACCATTTGAGCAGGGCACAAGAGCTGAGCTTTATGCTCGTGCCAGAAACGCAATGCCTAAGCTACTTCAAGCTCCCAAGATTCAAGGTATGATTTCCTCAGCTTTTCCGCCGCTTGAAAAACCATAATGTGAACACTTTTAAGTTGATCATATTGAAACATCTCAGGGTCAGATAAAAAGGAGATGGAGAAAGATACAGACTTCATGGTCATCGCTGATGATCTCATCAAGATCATCGAGAGCTCGATCCTTACTTTCAACGTTTTCTTGAAAATGGATAAGAAGAAACCAAATGGGGTTATTCACTTGTTTGGGAACCACAACAATAACCATATGAATTCTACAACCCCTTTGCAACTGGTTCAGTCATCTGTTGAAAAGGTAAGATTTTCTCTGTTAACGTTTATCTCTTAGAAGCATTGTATATGCTTCTTTGAAAGTCTCGTAAGATTTGACCCTGTAAAACAATTTGCAGAAGAGGGTGAAAGCGAAGGAGCTTTCGAAGAAAACAAAAGGTTTGAGAAATAAATCTTGGCCTCAAACATGGGAAGGTGTTCAACTCTTGTTTGCAGCCATTGACATCAAACTCGCATCTCGGGTTCTAAGAATGGCGAAAATCAGCAAAGAGCATCTTCTATGGTGTGAAGAAAAGATGAAAAAGCTCGACTTTTCTCTAGGGAAGCTTCAAAGACACCCATCTCCAATTCTTTTCCCTTGTTGATAATTAATGATGAACACACAATGATATCAAAATCCAGTCCAATCAACTGTGCCCTTAAAATTTCACAATGATTTTTATTGTGCAGACAAATCAATGAAGAAATTGTGTGTTCTATTTGCTTCATTCTCTTTGCCTTAAGGTTTCAAATCTAAGAACAGTTAGCTTTGGTCTGAGATTCACTAGTTAGGGACCATTTTCATTGTTGTCGTTTGGATGTAGCACATATGAAAGAATCCAATGTTGTCTTGTAGATGGGAAACTGAATCTATAGTGATGAATGATGAATGATGATGATGATGATGGTGATGGAAAAGTCTTATTCTGCTATCACTTTCGTTGTTTTTGGACAAAGTCTTGATGTGTCATTAAAGGACTTTTCCTTTCTTTTCCATGTTTCATATTCAACCAAATCCTAAGAAACTATAAATGAACGTATAAATCTGAAACTGTTTTGGTTTACATAAATTCTTATGAAAAAATCTAGCATTGAAATTAAAATTTTGTGCAGGTGTGCATCCAAAAAAAGGAAAAAAAAAAACAGAGTGTGTGTTTTGGTGGTAGCAACAGGCAACAGAGACAGAGCCACGTGAACCTATCTCTTTCAATTAGAAGAGTCAACACGTGGCAAACCTAGTCATCAATTTGGAGGAAACACAAAAAGACTAAAAAGGGCTTGCTGTATCACCACCGTTAAAGAACCTGACAGGGTATATCAGTCATTGTTGATCTAGGAGGACATCTTTGTGTGCGAATCCGTCGTGATTCTGCTGAATTTTGTAATGTTGTTAAAATACGATATCGGAAACACTTGAAAATGAATTTTAGGTATTTAAAGATTAACAAACATCTCAATAATTGCCGAGAAAAGAAAAAAAAGAAATACACATAGCTCCTTGACTTGGTGACTCGACGAAGCCCTTGGGACAAATTTTTCAAAGGGTTTAGTTTTAATCTCTCTATCTTTCTTTTTCTCTGGGTCTCTTCTTTCTTTGCGACATTTTATTTCGAGCTCTGCGAGAAATACTTTCATGGAGGCTTGAATATCACCATCAGGTATACTTAACTCTGCTTCCTTTTCCATCTCTTTCTCTGTTTCTGCATCGGTTATCTACTTTTTTTTTCTTCTACAAGTCATGCCAGGAGCTAGTTTATGAGAAACAAAAATAAATAAAAAATAAAGTAAGTTGGTGTTTTTTTATTTTGATCCCCGATTATAGCCTATGGATACGATTTACTGTTTGTAACGAGGTTGATGAATGAGTCCAACGGTTTCGTATACTTTAAAAAAAGATGGCTTCTTTTGATGATCTTCTGTGTTTTTGCTGATTATGTGAGTTGACTGAATTTTTTAGCTTAGGAAATGGGAAATTCGTGTCTGAAATTTCGATCCTTGATGGGTAGATTTCAATCATATGTAGTCGGTTATACGAAATTTGAGACCTTGAGGAAATTCACTTGACAAGGATCATATCCTAAAGTTCTTAGCTTTGGTTTTGCAGAATCACTCTGAACCTTTCGCTTGCTTCTTTGTGTTATGGTCACTTTGTGTTTCTTCTTTTGTCTAAAATTTGAATTTTTTTTTGGTGATATAGAAAAGTATGACGACGCAGAGCGCTATGAGAATGGTGGAGGATGATCATATGAAAAACTGGCAGGCTTCTAGGGAAAGTGGGATCTTTGGTTCACTAGATATGGCAGTTGAAGATTTAGGGTTTCTTATGAAAAGAAATAGATTGGATAATAGTGGTGATCATACCGGAAAAATACCGAGTAGGAGTGGAAGCGCACCGCCTAGCATGGAAGGTTCATTTGCAGCTCTTAGGAATCTCTTGAAACAGCAGGAAGGTAGTAACTCTGAAGCATTAAGTAGGGCTATTGAGAATTATGACTCTGAAGAAGAGATACGTAGCGATCCTGCATATGTAGCTTACTATTTGTCCAACATCAACTTGAATCCAAGACTTCCTCCTCCGTTAATATCACGTGAGAATCAGCACTTGGTGCGCCATTTGAGTGGGATTGGTGATAGTAACCTGAGTCCAACATCCTCTTGGGATAGTTTGGGGAAAAGATCCAACTTGCTTTCTTCTAGAACTGCCCTTTCGACACATAGAGAGGAGCCTGAGGATGAGACAGCATCAGGTGAACAACAACCTTTTTCTGCTTTGGCTGGTCGTCGTAAGAGCTTCGCTGATATGGTTCAGGTACATGGTTCCTTGATTCTGTCATTTGTTACTAAACTTCATTTCACATGAGGTAAGATCTTTCTCTTACACTTTGTTCTGTGTTCAAGCGGCCTCAATCGGCAGGGAATCGTCCAATAGCAGAAGACAGACATACCATTTCCTCTGGTATAGCTTCAGAAAACACAAGAAGATTACCGGAGTCTGATATAAGTCTGCTAAGGGAGGCAGATTCCCTCTCCATGGATGCTATTTCTAGTGAAGATCCTTTCACCACTGGTTTGAGCTCACAAAGTTCTACTAATGCACAGAAAGAGAGAACAAACGCGAGGCTAGCGAACCACGAGGACAACAATCTATCTGTTTTTGGTGCTTCTTCTCCATCCTCCGCTGCTTCTAGAATTAGGAGGAACCAAGAAGAACAACAATCTCAGGGAAGGAGAATGCCTGTGCAATATACACCTTCATCGTATCAAGTTCAACCTAGTTCGCCACAACAAATGGCCTATCCGAGGATGGGCGGTACACACGACATGATGCAGAGCTTACCAAAGATTGCAACTGGCGAGGTACACTCGAATTTCCAATCTCCTCATGGTTTGGCCCAGCCTCCTATGTATACATCAACAGCAGCGTATATGACATCTCTGAGCCCGTTTTACAATCATAACTTTCAGTCCTCGGGTATGTACCTCCCGCAGTATAACTATAGCGGTTACCCTCCTGCCTCTGGTATCCTCCCTCAATATATGAGTGGATATCCATCTCCTGAAGCGACTGTTCCTATGCCATATGATATCTCATCTACTTCTCCTGCTGGCTACAACAACGCTCGCCTGCTGCCTGGAGTACCACCTACTGGACAAAACGTTTCTTCCCTGGTGGATCCTTTTCAGTTGCAGTATTATCAACAGGCTCAAGCAGACGCGTATGCTCCTTCGTTTCAGAGCAGCACTGATTCTTTTGGGCAAAAAGACCAACAAGCTTCTGGCTTTATGGCAAATCTTGAACCTCACAACAGTCCAGGGAGTCCGAGTTTCGGGTTGCAAAGTCCGCGGCACATGGGAAACTACTTTGCAGTGCCGCCGGGTGTAAGAGTCATGCCGCAGTATCCGGGATCACCTCTTGCTAGTCCAGTGATGCCATCCTCACCGGTTGGTGGGATGATGAGCCACTTTGGAAGACGAAGTGAAACAAGGTATCATCAACAAGGACCAAGTAGAAACACGGGGATCTACCCTGGTGGATGGCAAGGGAACAGAGGAGGAGCCAACAGTGTCGTCGATGATTTTAAGAGACATTCTTTTCTTGATGAACTCAAGTCTCCAAATGCTCGTAAACTCGAGCTGTCTGATATCGCAGGACGTGTTGTTGAATTCAGGCAGTGTTTCTATTCTGATATCTATCCTTTTCTTAAATTCTGAATTAGTGTTTTGAAAGCATCAAAAGATATCATTTTGCTACTCATTTTTCTTAACTTCAGCGTCGATCAGCATGGCAGCCGGTTTATTCAACAGAAGTTGGAGCACTGCTCTGATGAGGAGAAGGCATCTGTTTTCAGTGAGGTTCTTCCACAAGCTTCAAAGTTGATGACCGACGTCTTTGGAAATTATGTTATCCAAAAAGTGAGCCATTTTTTCTTTTGAGTTGGATAGTTTTTTCTGGTCAATAAGTTTGTTGATAGATAGTGATTTTTGGATCAGTTCATAGAACATGGAACTCCAGCGCAGAGGGAAGAACTTGTGAAGCAACTTGCTGGTCAGATGGTTTCTTTAAGCTTGCAAATGTATGGATGTCGTGTAATACAAAAGGTAAATTAATAATAATAGTTTCCCCAAATCAATGTCAGTATCTCAAGTAAATGGTTGTTAACTTTCTATGTACTTGTTTGTGCCGTATGAGTTTTTTTATAGGCCCTTGAAGTGATAGATGTTGACCAAAAGACAGAACTGATTCGTGAGCTCGATGGGAATGTGATGAAGTGTGTTAGAGATCAAAACGGAAATCATGTTATTCAAAAGTGTATTGAGAGTATGCCTGCAGGTAGGCTTGGATTCGTAATTGCAGCTTTCCGTGGTCAAGTTGCCACTCTTTCTACTCATCCTTATGGGTGCCGAGTTATCCAGGTAAATGGATAAGAGTGAGGCTTTTTGTGTCTCTCTTGTGTGTTTTCGACTTGAAATATTAAACTCTTTTTCTTTTTGTTTTTGCTGTAGAGAATCTTGGAGCATTGCTCAGATGATGAGGAGACTCGTTGTATAATCGATGAAATCTTGGAATCCGCTTTTGCTCTTGCTCATGATCAGTATGGGAATTATGTTACTCAGGTTTGGTTAAACTCGGATCAATGTCTCTCCTGGCGTTTTCTTGTATCTCACTTTGTTCCTAATCTTGGGTTTTGGCTTTACGATTTGCTTTGTAGCATGTCCTGGAGAGAGGGAAGCCCGACGAAAGGAGACAGATCATTGAGAAGTTGACAGGGAATGTTGTTCAGATGAGTCAGCACAAGTACGCGTCCAACGTTGTGGAGAAGTGTCTGGAATATGCTGATAGTACCGAGAGAGAGTTGCTGATTGAAGAGATAATGGGAAAATCCGAGGAAGACAATCAATTGCTGGTAAGATCACAATCCTTAGAAAGCTCTCCGTATAACCATGTTGGTCTATATATATATAACACTATTTTTTCTTTTGCAGGCGATGATGAAGGATCAGTTTGCAAATTACGTGGTCCAAAAAGTCTTGGAGATCAGTAAAGATCAGCAAAGGGAGATTCTGGTGCAGCGAATGAAAATTCATCTCCAGAGTTTGAGGAAATACACATATGGGAAACACATAGTAGCCCGATTCGAACAACTGTTTGGTGAAGGTATTTTTTTTTCTTAAAAACCAATAAACTGAGCAATCAATATGAGTTTGTGCTGTAAAGTTCTGAACTTTTTGATGTGTCATTGTTGCAGAGAGTGAAGCCTCAGAAGAAGGAACAGAAGGTTAGACAGAAGATTTACATATGGGACGCAGATTCGGACAAACTTAGAAAAACTATATAATGTATTTGAAAATGCTTATGTACATATATGCGTGTATCTAAGAATGGAAGTGTGATGGTTTATGTATATGATGTGGACATAATTGTGGTTAAAATTGATTTGCTCTTTTCTTTTGATTGCTAAGAAATACACAGATTTGTTTAGCCTAAACGAAAACAGAACTCAGCTTCTTACTTCTCATGGGAATCAAAACACTCCCAAGTGTCAAAAAAAACATCTCATGGGGCAAAGCCAAGCCATCAAATTCCGTAAATCATAACAATGGTAATCTAAGTTTCAATAGTCGTCATTATAGTAGTGGTTTGGTATTGGCCGCGAGTAAAATATCTTTCCAGGCTTCATAGAAGACCCAAGTGATCCCTGAAGACGGCATGACTTTCAAGCAACTTGCTCCCCATCCTCTGTAGAGTCCCATCACTCCTCTTTCCTTCACCACTTCTGCTATCGCTGCAGCCATGTGCGGTGGACATTGCCCCTTCAGAGATCCCACCATTAACCGCTTCCGAGCCACTTCCAATGGGAAGCTGATAGTGCTCGCCGTTAGACCTGACACCATTCACAGCTCAATGAGCACCAAGCATGATTTGAGTCAGGAGATACACTAAAAAGAAACCTTTTATTTACCGGCTAGAGCTCCAAGAACAAGCATCTCTGGACGGCTTAAAGCCTTTTTGTTCTTGGATTTGCAGTATGTAGTCTTCATTGTGTCGTACATGAAGTAATAACATGTGCTGTATGGAAGCATCCCAATCAGTGTTGGTCCTAAGCCAGCATAGAATCCACGGATTCCATCGTCTCTGAATATCCTTGGAACTGCAAGGCTCAGGCTTGGATAAATCTCAGGGCTCACAGTCAATCTATCCTGGTAAAGATCAGAATATAAACTCAGTCTCTTTCGACACTAATGACAACAAGAAAGGCTTTACCTTTGGCAGTACTCAACGGATTTTGATTACCTTGAGGACTTCGAGAGGATGGCAAACAAGTGTACTGGCGATACCTGCGGCTGCACCGGCCACAGCAACAGGAGAGATCCAAGATATGGACGGGCTGAAACTAAAGTCACCAATTTCAATCTTTGCCTGCTCAATCTTCTTCAGTTTCTCTTGCGCTGATGTCATTGCACGCTTTACAAACTCAAACGTTCCCAACTCAATCGCTTGGGTCGGAACAATACGGATCATATTGATTTCGTTGCCAGCCCAAAGACCTTGCCACCCTTGCTTCCGTATGATTTCCACAAAACTACCTGGAATGCTTTTCGATCCTACACCAACAATCATTCTTGTCCTGCCAGATTTCACAAAGCACAACAATGTAAACATCAAAAGTGGAATGATTCAATGAGGAGATAACAAGTAAGTGGATTATGCAGACCTTATTGTCTCAAGTGGAGCAAGAACAGCTTTGGTCATAGCTCCAGCTAGTGCCCCGCTAAGAAACTCACGTGCCTCTCTAGACTTGAAGAAATCCTGAATCAGCAAAAATCAAAAACCAAAACAGAGAGAAATATTACAATGGTTTTCATCAGATCATCCAATCGTAAAAACAGTGCTTCCCAATAGAGATTAAGCAACAGCTTCTTGGCACTTGCATATCAAAAGAAGATAGTAGTACCAGAACACAACACAGATTGTTAAAACTCACGAAGCAGTATTTGAACAAGCAGAGAGACAGGATCAGAGTAACAAAAAAAAAGGAGCTGAATTTAAATGTTATATAATTCGAAAAGAGGAACTCACTTTTACAGGAATCGTGAAGTCAGGAAACTGAGGTTGGAGACGAAGAGAAGAATCCGATGGAGAGGAGGAAACAGAAACGTTCTCCATAACCACAAGTCCTTCTTTTGGAACAACCATTGCCATTTCCTCCCCAAACCCACTAAATCTCTCTCTCTCTCTCTGTCTCCGTTTATTCTCTCTGAAAGAATTTATCAGAGAGAGGACAGAGATACAAAAAAGGGCAAAAAGTGAGAATATTCAATTAAACATAATTATAATCTAAAACAAATAAAAAAACATCAGATTATGAAGAGTTTTATTTAAGAAAGAGACGAAATAGAGTCTGTTGAAGACTTAAGCTTTAGGGTTTATGTTGTTCCTCTCATTGTGTTTGTTTTGACACCTCTCACTTGACGAATCAAAACGCTCATTTCTATCCCTTTATTTTCTCGAAAATATCCTTTTGTTTTTCTGTTTGCAAACAAGACATAACCGGTATGTTGGGGTTCGATCCGGTTTATCTGGTATAAACCAGCCGATTCGGTTCGGGGTTTTAGATCACGGTTTGTAAATTGTAAATCGAAAAGCGTTAACGAGACACGGTGAATCGAGCCGCCGAGCCTTATCCGATCAAATACTTTCCTCCTCTGAAACCACTTTCTCACAGTCAAGCTCGACGAAGATGTCTTGCTTGGTCTCATCGACTTGCTCACTCGTCCCCTTCGACTCGAGCCTGAATCGGCCAAGCCGTTCTAGCAAACTCGGCTCTTCAATTTCATGGCAATCTTCATTTCCCAGACTCTCCATCGAAATCGGCCCTGTTATCTCATCTCCCATTGTCAAAAAGGTAAATACGTCTTATTGCGTTTTCTGTGCATAATCACTGGGTCGTAAATTTTGTGCTTTTTTTTAGCTTAGTGTGTGTGTTCTTGTATGTTGAGCTCGTTGTTCATTTTAGGCGAAATATTGTGATCTTGTGGATTGAAAGTCAAAATCTAGGGTACTAGTGAATCTTCATGAACATGAAACTTGAAGCTTTGAATTTTCTCACGGAAATGCTATTGTCATGCTTGAGAGTGATTCTCCTCAAAGTCTATTTCTTTATCTGTTGGGGTATCTCAAGATTTATTCTTTCTTCTACCAAATATCACCTAATGATTCAGATTTCAGACTTGTCTTATTTTTCCAGTTATATGAATTTAGTCTTTTAGTTCAAGAATCCTTTTTGCTATTGAAAGTTCCCACCATATTTTCTTACAATGTGTTTCTGATGGATTGTTTAAGGAATCTTTTGTACAAGCCGCGTGGACTCGAAGATCACGTGGTGAAGCAGCCAAAAGACCCAACAAGAAGTCATGGAAACAAAGAACAGACATGTACATGAGGCCTTTTTTGCTGAATGTCTTCTTCTCCAGGAAGTTCATACACGCCAAAGTGATGCATAGGCCAACAAGCAAAGTCATTTCGGTGGCCACCACAAACGCAAGAGATATAAGGACCAATATACCTTCTCTTGTCGATGACGAAGCTTGCAGACTCATCGGTAAGCTCATAGCTGAGCGTTCAAAAGAAGCAGACGTCTATGCTGTGTCTTATGAGCCAAGAAAGGGTGAAAGAATTGAAGGGAAGCTAGGGATTGTGATCGATACCATTAAGGAACATGGCATTATTTTTGTTCCTTAATTGATTCTCTCTTATAATAAAATGAGTTGGCATTATGCATTACCAAGAAATGTCTGTGTTTTTGTTTTGTTGCCTATGCAGAGGAGGAGAAACCTGATCTCTTTAGTAGAGAATGTTGTTCAAGAACACAGAGTTACCCACCAAAATATTCGATGAAAATGCCAAATATGAAAGAAGAAAGAAAGAAATTTTAAGATGATTATATTATATACTTATGTATTGTCTGTACAACTTTAGTCACTTACTTCTTCTTGTCATGTGACATGTATCTAATCAAAATCTCTTCAAAAACACTTTCCTCACAAGGAATATGAATCCCTCCTTCATGGTCATAACCAAACTCGTCCGCTACTTCGTCCATCAAAACCCTAAATTCAGGATATTGAAGATACTTGGTCGGTATCACAAACCTCTGCATCTCATCACGGCCAACGTAGACCGCAAGATGTCCTCTCGGGACACCATCGCTGGCTCGTCTGCCACCGTCCGATAACTCCCCTGAGAAAAGACGATCCTTAACGTTTGGTTCGGACCTTCTGTTTCGTCTGTTCTCCAGGCTCTTCAGACGTATGATGAAATCTAGCGAAATCATTTTTGTTGACTATATATAGTCACAAAGAACTATCAAAATCGAAAAGAAAGATTCAAAAGGTAGCAAAAATCAAAAGGAAAATTGTGTCTTGAGAAAAAAAAGATTCATTCATATATCTATCAAAGTCAAAGGACTTTGCAGTTGATAGTTCATAGATAACTGTAAAGATATTCTTAAAGCTGTTATCCTCATAGAAAATAACAAAAAATAAAAAACAAGCTAGGTTAAAGAAACCCTAGTTGTTCTTGTTTCTTATTTTTCCTTGTTTGGTTCGTTTTAAATGATCTGTCTGCCTTTTATTTCTTGGTAAACAAGCTATGGATCAAAAGACTATTATTGGCACCAACCCAAGCACAGTCGTCTGTACCGTACAGTTGGTACGAGGTTATTGTTCGGTGATTCCAATTCACAAATCAAGACCAAGAATTTCGTGTTATCAACTAAAACTTTTTTTTTATGTAAAAATAGACATCAACCCATCTCCACAATAAAAATGTTTTGGAATAACTTTTCTTATTCATATAAGTCGATCACATTATTTTGAATAGATATGTTTTTTTTGCACATCATTTGATGGAACAAGCTTGTTCAATAGCTGAAACAGTTTGCTTCACATCCACTCCCATATTGCAGATATTGGCAAGCGCTCCACTATACTTCAGTCCGTAATCTATCTTTGCTCCACAGTAATTCTTGAAGCTATTGACCTGCCATTTTTAATCATATATATACATCAGTTTGATCGACAATTGCTTAGAACACAAGTAAACAAGACTTGAGAAACAATCGTTGTTACCATAGTCTTGAAGCAATCCCAGTCGTCTACAAGAGGTTGTCCTGCTGTTCTTGTGGATGTTAAGAGATGTAAGACATTGGTTTGCTTAAGCGAAAGTCGCAGAATCTCTATAATGCTCTGATCGATTTGTTTCCTGTGATTCATTTCGTCAAATAGCTTCTTCTGAGCTTCTTGTCTTTCAGGTGACTCCAGTGGATATTTTTGAATCTGCGTTGTATATAAAGAAACATCAAACAAACACCTCTTTCTTTTAATAGATCGTATAACCGCTATAGAAAAAATAAAAATTTCACCTTTCTGTGGAGATATAACAGAGGAATATCGCGTGTATTGACAAAGCTTGAGTTAGAGATTGGTGGAGAAGTGAATCCAGCTAAAGTGAAGTTTTTGTTGTCAGGATTGGTTCCAATGTAAGAGACAAGATAGTCTTTGAGAAGCTCCTCTGTTCCGAAATGGCATACATGAGAAGTCATTCCTGGTTCAGGATCAGATCCTGTTCTTCTCTTTACAGCTTTGTATTGCTGCTCCAAAGTCTCTTTGCTCATGTCATGAAGTTCGCTGTCCCCAAAAAACAAAACAGTGATTCTCATAAGTCTTGAAGAACAATAAAATCATTCAAAATAGTCCAAAAAGAATTATTTGCAGTACCTGTCCTCAAGCCAAGAGATGCTGAATGTATCGCCGAGACAAGTAGAGTCATACTCAGGAGGAGGAGGAGGATATGTTTCAGGACAGTAAGTTCCCCAACTGCTCTCTTTTGCATTAGCAGCAGTCACAGCCAATATATTTAGATTGTTCTTTAAAAGCCCTTCAAACATGCTTCCAGATTCACATGCTTCAACATAAATCACCTATATCATTACACACATAAAAAAAATAAACCTCAAAAAAAGATTCAAGAACAGAACACATATATAAATGCTAGATATGATGACCAGTGAATGATTTGAGTTATTTAGTACCATCTTCTTGTAGCTTTTTTGATGATGCATCTTCTCCAAGACATTAATGAAATCTTTTGCATGGAGCTCTTCTTCACCGGGCATCGCTGAGAATATAATAAACATCAAGAAACCACTAATTAGTATCAAGAGAAACATCTTAGTAAGTATAGATATGGATTGAAGGTAAAAGTAAAATACAATACCTAGTAAACCAGGAGATCCATGGTCAGCATAGTAGATGAAGACATGATCATTAGGACCACTTTTCAAAACTCTGCCACTTCCTCCTGTGATGCCACTTTCATTTCCAAGTAACACATTGAAGAAGTTTGTCACATTAACAGTTTTTCCAGTGTAGTCCTATTCAAACAAAAGAGACCAACAAATTTTTTAAATATCCATTTGTTAACACTAAACATATAGATATAAATACACAAAGGAAGTAAAGATAAGAACCATAGGAACTCCTTGATAAACATCGTCTCCATCGGGTCTATTAATGATAACTCCAGGCCTTGGATTCTCTGGGTGAAACGCGATATCATCATACATAAACACAATAATGTTTTCATCTTTGAGACCACCTTTTCGAAGTATCTGATATGCATGGCATATGTCAGCCTGTGAAGGAAACAAACGGTAAATTTAGTTCATAGAATCTCTCTAGCACCACTATTTTTTCTTCTTATAATTAAAATTTTTGATAAGCAATTAAAAAAAAAAAAACCTGATGCCTGTAGTTGTAAAATTCATTTGATCCAGCAACTAGAACAGCCCATCGTGTGCCTTGTGCATTATCGTCGTTAGATTCAATTTCATCACTGTTTTGCAGTTTGGTTTTGCGAGATTCGGCTGAGAAGATAAGCAGAGCAAGAAGAAAAACAAGAATCTGAAAGTGACCAAGAGAAGACATTGTTTGGAAAAAATACTTCTTAAGAACTGTCTTTTTTTTTCTCTCTGTAAATGTTCTTGAATCTGAGTGTGATAAAAAAATATCATAGTGTATAGCTCGTTTATATAGCAAAATGTTTTTGCCATTAACACTAATTTGCGTATGAGAGTTTGATTGTGGACTCAAAAAGTAACGCATGACGTTGTCACCTAAGCACTTTGCATGATATGAACTAACTGCCTTGAAATGTTAATTGCTTTGTTTGTTAGCTTGTTGTGTTTTTTTCCTTTCTTATTATTATCTTTAGTTTTCTTGTAACCAACCTCTACGAATTCAATTAATGCATATTAATTAGTGACTAATGAGAAGATAAAAACAAGAAACAATTCTACATATGTATATACACCTATATATATAACTTTTACTCATTTCCTTAGATTATTATTTGTCCACAAAAACACTACGTACCAAATTGATGTGCATAAATAAAAGTAATAAAATGGAGAATTTTGATTTCTTTTTCCATTTTTAAATTTATAGCACTAGTATTCGATATTAGATATTAGCACTAATATTAGATATTATATATTAGATATTAGCACTAATATTAGATATTAGATATTAGATATTTGCTATAAATTAGATATTAGATATTAGATATTAGCACTAATATTAGATATTAGATATTAGTATAAACGATTCTAGTATAACGCAAAAGAAAAGAAGATGCGTAGGAACTGAGTATTTCAACTAAATATGGGAAGATATATGAGTCATGATCGCAAACTCTTGCGTCAGGTTCTGCTGAAATTGAGGCTATATAGCTCAGTAGCAGTTTTTACTGAAACCAATGAGCTGTTAGACAATAATTTACCAATTTCTCTCGATTTAGAAGTTATTAGTATTAGCATTTAGAACTGTGCGGTCCAAAATTCGTCTTACATATCAAAACAGAGTTTACGTCTTTCTGAAAAACTATTACAAACCTAACAATTTGTTTTTCCTATTGATTTCTTCTTTACAAGTTTACACAACATATACAGACAAAATATTCATAATTACATAGCTTAAGCAAACTAAAAGATACAAGAATGGCCTCACTCCATCTCTCCTTCAACAGACAAGAATGCTAATCCTCTTCGTTTTCGTCTGAAACAACCAAAAAAGTAGCAGAGGAGAAAGTGTTTAGATTTGATGGACAAAACACATGTTAATAATGTTTTAGAAGATGATTGAAAACTAAAGTAAAAGATTCTCTAATGCACCTAAGTTCTTCTCCGTGTCCGATAAAGTACTTGAATGTGTATTTGAGCTATCCGAGATTACGCTCATTTCGTCCTGCAACAGAAGCATTACACAGATTTTCACTTTCAGAGAATATGTGGATAAAACCAAAAACGTTGAAATTGCTAAGAGCAGTTTCAAGACTCACAACTGGTGGCAATGAGACTGAGCTATGATTTGGTGACGGCCCTCTGCTATAGTTGAACAGAATCCACTCCATATTCGCATCTGCAAGAGCTCTCAGTCTATTGAGCTCTGGCAAAACCTCTTTCCCGAGGTCTGGTCGGTCTTTCCTTCTCAGCTGTGCACATCTAAGTGCAATCTTTGCCAAAGACAAAGCTTCTTCAACCGGCCAATTAGGCACTGCTGGGTCCAACATCTCCCTGAATGTCCCTTGCTCCATCGCTTGCTCAACGGTGTAAGCCAAACCAGTAGGCTTTTTCGCTGTGAGCATCTCGAGAAGCAAGATACCAAAGGAGTAGACATCTGATTTCACACCAAGCATTCCGGTTTGTTGGTACTCAGGGTCAATGTAACAGAAAGTCCCAGCGGTTGACGTGACGTGACACTGCGTGACGTTTTCAGCAACTGCAGGAACTAGCTTGGATAATCCGACATCACCGATTTTGCTTACGTAGTTCTGGTCAATCAAAATGTTTCCAGGTTTGAGATCACGGTGCACTATAGGCTCGGGTTTCGTCTGGTGAAGGAAGAGCAGACCCGTCGCGACCTCGGCTGCAATTCGGAACCGGAGCTCCCAAGAAAGCGGTGGCGTTTTCCCGTTCCTGTAGAGCCTGTCAGCTAAACTCCCTTTGGCCATATACTCATACACAAGCATTCCATACTCTGGACATGCTCCAATAAGTAGCACCATATGCGGATGTCTTATGCAGCTAAGAACTTCTACCTGCAAGAAACTTTTTAATGGTTGGTCCATATCTAAACCGAAGTCGGATTCTTTTCTAAATTTCTATGCTTTTGCTTTAAGTCAGGTTACCTCTCTCTGAAACTGAGATCTTCCTTGAGCGGCATCTTGTCTCAAAACCTTAACAGCAACAGGGGTATGATCAAGTTGACCCTTGAAAACGGGACCGTATCCACCTTCGCCTATCTTGTTAGCCTTGTCGAATGAGTTTGTGGCTTCTTCAATCTCACTAATAACATACCTCCGATACCTTAAACTGGAATCAGAGAAAGAACCTCCAGCTTCCATGGCCCTTCTTTGATTTTCGAGCTCTGCTATCTTGCTTGCTGTTTCAGAAGCTTCCATGGCAGCTTTGTTTGCTCTCTCTTTTTCCACTATTGACTTTGTAGATTTCTCTGATAACTGTCCTTCGTGCACCCATCCTTCCTCTTCCATTTTCTGACGCTGGAGCTCCTTCGCCTTGGATTTCAAAGTTCAATTTCTCTCAGTCAACACTGCAGAATAATATATATACAAGGACGGGTTTCATTTTACATCGTTTACCTCTTGCTTTGCTGCTAGTGCTTCTCTGCAAGCTGATCCATACATGTCAATTGTGTGCTTCAGTTCCTGTTTCAATCTTCGCATCTCAGCTTCCACTTCTTCCTGTACGTTTCAAGAAAAACATATATAGTTATACCATTCTGCAAAACAGATATTGCTATCTATAACCAATCAAAACGGATCTTACCAAGTTTTGTGGTGAACAAGAACAAGATGACCGACCACTATCTTGTGAGACGAATGAGAAATCATGTTGGATATTGGTGTCATTAAACCTGATTCCTAGACGCATAGAGCCAACGCTTTGTCCAGAGCCCGTCGACATTCTCGGGGTTAGACCAGAATCAGGAAAGTCGTAGATGAAGGAAGGGCTTCCGTTAGTGCTTGTACTCGGCCTGCCTGAGCTCACAAAAGATATGTCAGACCTTCCGTTGGTGCTTAAACTTGGCCGGCTCGTTGTACTTGGCCTGCCTGAGCTTGTGGTACTTGGCCGGCCTGAGCTCGTGGTACTTGGCCTGCCTGAGTATACAAATGATATGTCGTTTTCCGAGTCTGACAAATCAAAGAACGAGTTTGCGTAATTTGATTTCCTCGCCATAGGTGACCTGTTGATGGTAATACCGCAAAAGAAAGAACGATTATGTTTTTTTCCTTAAAAACGGATCAGTTTCTTGGCGAAACAAAAGAAAAATATTCTCATGAAAACATTACTTTCCATAGTCTTCAATGGAGCTAGAAACCGAAGGCCTTGCCGGAGTCCTATCTGCTTGTAGCAGCGAAAGAACAATTTCAAGATGCGTGCGGTTTCATGTGGTTAATCCTCAACAAAAAACTTGTTAACAATTATACCTCTAAAGCTCATGGTGTTCCTGAACTTTTCATAGTTAGAGATTGCAGAATGATTCTCGATCTGACCCATAAGCGGAGACCGATAAGGAGCAGTTCGCGTGGCATGGCGGACAGATGATATCTTCCCTTTAGAAATGACGTAAACCGTACAGAAATCAGGTGCTGCTTTGGCTACATTGCTCGGTGTATCAGACATCTTGAATTTCCTTCACGCGGATAGGAAACAAACATAAGGATCCGAATTGATTAGGAGGAAGAGATTCATATTCAAAAAATACCTCATGAAGCCATGCCTGGACGGGGCACCAAGAACCAAATTCTCAATCACGCCATTGGAAACATATTCCGCAAGGGATTTGACAATGTTGTCGTCCTCAAGCGTGACGTCAAGGCATTGTATCTATCAACCGAGAGATAAAGGCCAAGGCCTAATTTGTTAGAAAACAAAGCAAGCGAGGAGGACAAGAAGAGATAGTACTTATCGCAGTTTGTTTACCTCTTTTCGACTGCAGTAGCAATGGAACGTCACGAAAAGGTTCTCGGCTTGCTTATGTTTCTCTGCGTTAACCTCAACTGCAAACACCATTTGCCACAACAAAATCTGTCTCTACAGAATCTTGAAAACTCAGGCAGCAACAAGATAAATGGCAGAGAGAGAGAGAGAGAGAGACCTGAATCAGATGATGATCGGAGGAGAACATGGAGGAGAATGATGGTTTGTCCTTTGGAGACAAGATGATCAGCAGCCCATTTGAGAGCATGTTGGCTTCCTTTGTCTTTATCCACTGCTACAGCGACTAAACCTGAATTCGCATTCTTCTTCTTCGAGTTTCCCTTTTGGGACTTCATCGATTACAAAGTAGCTTACGACCCTTGATTGCAAATCCCCGCATATAACCAAAATCAATATCTCCATTCACAGGCTCTCCTACCTCTATCATCTTGGAAGGTTTCATTCTCAAAACTAAACAAAAAAAAAACCTGCGGTGTTTCCTAAATTAGGGATTCGAAAAATTTTCTCCCCCAAATTAGAAAATTGGGATTCAGTGGTGAACTGAAGAACAACAATGGAGAATATTTACCGCTCATTCTCTCTATCTCTCATCATCTTTCTCTCCGTAGCTCTCTCCGACAGCTTCGGGTAGTCGCGGAATAGTAGTTAGTCACTCCCCAAAATCCAGTTTAGCCCTAAATTTCAAACATTTACAATTTCGTGCAAAAGTTCGGAACTTTTTATCCTCACACAATCCCCAAAATCCAATTTATCCTTAAATTTCAAATCTTTACAATTTCGAGCAAAAGTTCGGAACTTTTTATCCTCAAAACAATCCCCAAAAACAAGTTTAGCTCTAAATTTCACATCTTTACAACTATCTCAAGTGATGTTACTTGCCCATGGATTCAATTCTTAAATTTTGGTGGGGGATAATCAGATGGAGAAGTGAATAAACTTTCAAAAACTCTATGAAATGGATTTACACGACAAGAGGAGTGATTAAAAAAAAGGCTGGAAAAGTTACATAATGAAGAACAAAAAAAAAAGAAACATTTTGGGTAATTCATGATTAATCATTACATCTCATTGATTTTGCATTTACACATTTTTTCCCAAAAAAAGCAAAAAACCCAAAACTTTCTTTCTCGTTGAAGCTTTGCCGACGAAGATTAATCTCTTTCTTGCATCAAGATTACAAATTTGTTTTTCAAGTCATCATCGATTCATCGCGAAACCAAAGTCGTCGTCGTCTATTAGCCGAGAAGCAAAGACATTGTGCGTCAAAGCTGAGAAATCATTATCAAACTCTTGCCCTTCTCTTAACCTCTCTATCTTCTCCACAGCATCTCTCATCTCCATCCTCATTTCTTCATCTTCTTCGCAACAACTCAACCCAATTTTCAACAGACCTAGCATCTCTGCTTTACAGTTCTTCTTCCCCGTCATTTCCTTGTCAAACACGTCACCCGTTTTCTTCTCCTTAACCATGTTACTCACCCAAGTCACAAGGCTCATGTTAGCATCATACCCTTGCCTCAGATAATTCTCCGGAAACCTACCCGTTAAAAGCTCCAAGATCAAAACCCCAAGGCACCAAACATCAGTCTTCTTCGTTATATGTCCCTTTAAGCTATACTCTGGCGACTTATAAGCGATCATTAGGTTATGAGAGATCTCTGAGTTCATCACCGGTCTTAGCGCGTAGTCCGTTAAGCGAGGCTCGAATGATTCGTCAAGTACAACATTCGATGACTTGAGATGACCGTGAGGGATCGTGAGTGTTGGTAGCTCATTGAACAAGTAACCTAAACCCTTAGCCACTCCTTGTATAATCTTTAGCCTTGTTGGCCAATCCAATCCAGGTTTATCCACAGAATGATTCGCTGAAACAGAGCATTTTTTTTCCGTTTAAAACCGTTAAAGTAACAATTTTTATAGACAAAACAAAATCTAATCTTTACATACCGTGAAGATGGCTTGCCAAGCTACGATTTGGCATGAACTCAGCGATCAAAAGCTTCTCGTCTCTACGATAATAGTAAGCCACAAGAGGCAACAGATTCGGATGGGTCAATCTCCCTAACCGTCTCATATGCTCATGAAACTCCTCTCTTCCAACATTGTTCATATGCTTATACCTCTTCACGACTAGCGTCTGTCCACTATTTATCCCAGCTTTATAAGATGCGCCAAAGCTTCCGCTTCCAAGAACTTCAGCAGAAGCTCTTAGAAGATCTTGAAGGTCGAATCTTTGAATGTCATCTTGCAGAAACAGGAGTTTCCCATGATCCGGTACTGCTCCTCTCCTACTAGTGTAACTCGTAACAGAGTCCGGGGCTTTCTCAATGTCTGCGGTTTGGTTGTAATTGTATTTCTCTGTTCTGTCTTGTCCTGCAGATGGATAAGCCGACAAGGACTTCCGTCTTCTTGTATGAAGGACACAAATCACAAGCGCTATGATCATTAGTAGTATCCCAATGACAATCAAAACAATTGCAATCGTGAAGAGAGATTGGTAATTGTTCTTCTCCGTGGGACTAGGAGGGGGATCTGGAAAAGGCTCTGAATCCACTGAACATGAGCTTAATGGAGGATCACACAAGTCCTTGTTCCCTGCAATGTTCAGCAAAACAAGAAAGATTCTGTTTTTTTTCAAGAACTCTAATAGTTACCAAACATTTGTAGATATTGAAATGTTTGTTTTAGTTACCTGCAAAGGAGCCAGGATCCATGCTGCGAAGGCTTTCAGGAATAGGTCCCTCGAGGTCGTTGTTCTCGAAGCTAGCCAACTTAAGATCTCTCTGTTTAAAATCAGGTATTTCTCCTTGAAACTGATTCCCATTTAGCCTCACCTCTATAAGCATTGGCAAAGAAGCTAAAGAAGAAGGAATCTTGCCTCGAAACGCATTATTCGCCAAGAGAAGCTTCTTCAAATGATGCATACCATCAAACGCATCCGCAGGTATCTCCCCTGAAAACCGGTTATTAGACAAGTACAATGACTTCAACGAGCCTAGGTTCTTGACAGATGGCATTGCACCATTGAAATTGTTGTTCATGAAGCTCAAGGTTCTTAGATTCTTGATTGGAGCCAACGGTTCAAGGTCAAGATTCCCGGTTAAGCCCATTCCTTCGAGCTGTAGACCCCAAACATTGCCAGTGAAACAGAGAACACCGAACCAATTCCCTGAGTTTCTCTTACAAGGCGCTATTGAAGGATCCCAACTGTTAATGACAGAGGCATTTGCTAAAGTGTCTTTGAATCTTAAGAGGCAATCTGCGTCTGAACCTGGCACAACCTCGGCCTGCTGCTGAGACAGGACCCTTGTGACCGGACATAAGACGATGATGAGTAATGTAATGAAGGCTAGCTTTTTCGTCAAGGCGGTGTTACTTGCAAGCCAAACTGGGTTCTCCCAAGTTAGCATTGCAGCCAACACGCGCTTTAGATCGATTCTTCAACAAGAGTTCTTCTTTTTTTCGATCCCAAAAAACTTTTTCTCTCTCTCTTTTCTCTCTCCTGACAAGAGAAAAAACGAATGAACAGAAGAGAGAGGACAAAAACCCACCAAGAATAGACAAAACCCAAGTATCTCAATTCGCAAAACTTGTTTTTGTTTGCCTTTGTGCTGTCTAAAGATTGTTTAGATTTTTAGAGAGATTTTAGGGTGACCATTCGATTCTTTCTCCTTTTTAGTTAAACAATCCTTGTTTATGTGATTTGTCATTTGTTCTAACTAATTATTTCTATGCATCTATAAGATAATAGTCGGAGGGTTTTTATTTGATATGATGATACTTGAGATAATTATAGAATGTGCTATTGAGCTATTTTCAAACAACCAAAAAAGAGCAAAGATTCTTCTACCCTGATAACATTAGCTGTTGGCTTTCACGATATCATTGTTATAAGAAAAAGAAAAAAAATTCGCATTAGTTAGTCCCAGATGTGGTTGATTATAATATTGATGAGTAGTCTACTTAAATATTTACGTTTTCATTCACTACTTAAACATGTGATCATATAATGTCTTACAGTGATTTAAACTTAAAACAACACCAGAAGACAGTGGACTCGTGTATGTGCTCATTTTCAAATCAACTCATATTTCTCCCATATGTTAACCAATTTATTGATGCAGCACATTCAGAAGACTAGAGCTAATTAGTAGTCTACTAGCGATAGATATATAATTTAGTGTTATTGTGCATTTCTTTAAACAGTAAAGAGATGAGCAGTGATTAAAGATGATAAATAACACACATGTGAGTAGGAAATGTACGTATCATATGGTTCTAGTGACGACATGATTCATTAGAAACAAAACCTTCTAAAACCGCAAGGCTTCTTGTTTTTGGCTTGCGGTTTCGTTGATGAACTTACAACCTCAGGAGGAGGAGGAGGAGGCAATGTGTCTTGCGTGGGCTGTGTCTCGGTTTCATTTGCCGGAGCCTCAAGTTTATTGGGTGGTGGCTTCAAGTTTGGATCTTTAAACTCGACTCCATAGTCCATTGTCAACAGATGGATGCCTGTCTTCACTAGCATCTTCATGAGTACTCCAATTTCAATGTTCCCACATAAATATACCATCTCTGTTGGTGCATCTATGGTAAATGACACACCTGAAGCCAAACCCACGAATCAAGGAAAAAAACTAAAGCATTTTTCCAAAAATTGGTTGATGATTTAGAGAAAATTTGTGAACCTTGGATGGTCTTCAAAGCTCCTATGATTCGCTTATCCCAACCTTCTTCTAATGTGTTTAGTTCGAATCTACATCTCTGCAAAAGCCAAAAACACAACACATTTTTAAAAGCCATTAATAAGTGTTGCAAGTAGTGCAAAGAAGAGAAGCTGTGCGATATATAAAACCATGAAGTGATTATTTGGTTTCTGGGTTCCTTCTGGATTCTCTTCATATCCATAATCCATTCGGTAGAGCATAGTGCAAGTTCTCGCTTTATATAATTTCTTAATGAAGACCAGAGGATCAACTTTTCCATGTAAATACATCAACGCTACATCAACTTCGCCATGTAAATTCACCAACATACTGTTTGGTACCACACTAGTGGAGACGGCTAAACCTATCGATCATGTTTTGAGAATAACAATAAAGTGTTAATAAGTCTTCTCTCAAAATCTTGTGCCTTGATTGATAAGAAGATCCTTAATAGTGAAGAGTCCTACCTTCAATGTCCTGAAATATTTTTGTCCAAATCTTTTGCCAACCTTGGAGTCCAGTTTTGACAAGCAAAACACACGACTGTTCATAAAGTTACGCAGGAGCTATTAGAGGACTAAGATCAAGAAAATTATCGACAATTTCTTGGGAAGGAAGTTAAAACATAAACAAGAAAAAGAAACAAAGAATTCTTACCAATTGAGGAGCCTGCATCGTTTCTGGGTTTCTAGAGCTGTTCTTTTGTTTGTCCTAAATTCTAGATTCATGAACAGCTTGCCCTTCGATAGGCTACATATTGTTTGAAAAGGAAAACCTTAGATAAATGGAAACTATGCATAATAGATAACTAGAATAAGTTAAAAAAAAAAAAAAAAATAGCTTGGTAGTTTTCTGCAGGTTGGTTGACTAGAGTTTATCAACGATAAAATTCCTTTTCTTTTGTCTTTGTTAGATTCGGCTTATCAATCAAATGTTAAGTGTTTTGCTTTAGATTCTATTTGCTTATTTGGTCAAGCAGCTTCAGAATCTTGGTAAATAAAGCATGCTATGGCACTTCAGAAGCCACAGGTCGATGACAAGTCTGTTACACCGCATTGCTGCATAGCTCAATGTCCCTTGGTTAGCTACGAGCACAGCAACTCCCTGAAATATACTAGTAAAGTAGTCTATTCCTATGGTCCAACCACTGGATGATCAATCATGAAAAAGATCAAAGACGAAGTATTCAAAGTCTATATCTTCTGGTAAATGTATACAAACATCTCAAGGAAAGAAACAAAAAATCGCAAAAAACAAACATTATTTGAGTCTTCATTCAAAGTCAGATTATATAAACATACATCAAAACAGGTTGGAGAGCTGAATTTGCCCATCAGATCATAGAGGATCTGGATCCCGGGAAAGATGGTCGATTGTAACCCTTCGCATTGACCTAACCATCAATTCATGGGAAGCTCGGATTCTAGCAAGCCTGCTCTGCATACTCTGAAACACAGGATGGCCTATTGCCTCACGCACTCTAGCATAATGCTCTTGGTCTTCAGAGAAATTAATAAGTGCCTCGGCTGCATTGTCCCTAAGCCCTTCCGACTCATCTCCCAACCATTCAATAAGAATTGGTATCATACCTGAATCGGAAAACGCCTCACGGTCATTCTCATTGTAACTCAACTGAGATATAGCTGCAGATATCCTCTCCCTGAACTCACGTGACCCATTTCTCACAAGCTCGATCATCAAAGGAATCGCGCCAGACTCTCTAATAACAGACACAGAATGGCTATAACCCGCAAGATCCCACAACACATCACAAGCTGCAAACTTGGCTTCCCTATCTCCTTCTCTCAAGATCCTCACCAGTTCTTCAGCTATCAAAACAGCATTACCTTCAGCTACAGCTAGTATACAGAACACATCTTCTGCAATATCTTTCCCCATGGGATCTCGTCCCGAGAGAAGCTCCACGTACAAAGGAATGGAACCAGCTTCAGTGACTGGCCTAATGTACTCGGTCTGAGCAGATATGATCCCTAAGGCATTAGCAGCTAAAAGCTTTGCCTTTTCATCTCCATCTCGAAATAGATCCACAAGTGCTGGAATCACTCCTGCTTCAACCAGCATTCGCCGTGCTCGTCTAGTAGTACCAGTCAATCCAATTGCATGACAAGCTCTCTCTCTTGACGCCAAGTTCCCAACTTTAGCCGCTTCTACAAGAAACTTAACCCCTCCTGTATGAACAAGAACGCGTCTGCTCTCTCGTATCGTCGTCAAGGCACTAAGGATCTCTAACAAATACCATCTACTTGAATCTTCTTCCCAAGTATTCAGCTCACGAATCACAATCTCTAAACCACCTAACCTAGCCAAGCCAATTCGAATCGAAGATCCAAAAGTAACTAAACTCCACAAACATTTCACCCAAACCCTTCGGAACTCATGACTATTAGTAGTATTCGGCTCAAGCAACAACCCTAACAAGCCAGCAGTGACACCGCACCTTCCCATCAACATCGCGAATCCGCCGATTTCGCCGCCGCGACAGGCGATACAAAACAAGCAATGAGCGGCGGCTGCTTGAACGGAACGGTTGGGATCATCGGAGACACGGAGAAGACCGGCGAGGATCGGGATTACACTGGATAGAAAACACTCGGGTACTCGATTCGAAAAATCCGATAGCTTTAAAACGGATCTTACACGAATTGGAGCAGGACCAGACGAAATCGCCTCTTCGAAGCGATTAAACTCGGTTTCCCAATCTGGGTTTTCAAAACCTCTGCTACCACTCTCCGTGTCTGAAGGATCCATTTTTGCCCAAAACCTCGGAATATGATGAAGCTGCTACTGTGCTATAGAGGAGAACAAAAGCACGAGATGCTCGAAAAGAAGACGAAAATGGCGATTTACTCGGGATCTACAAGCAACTACAGAATTGAAAAATTGAATTATGCCACGTCGGTTTTGACCAACCCTCACTTGCTACATATGAAGAAACCTCAGTTACCCGGTTTAGAGTGAATGTACCGAATTAATTCGAATAGATTGATATTTGGTTACTGGTTTTCTCGGTTTTTACGTTAACATATTACATCGATGCCATTGGAAAACAGCACACGTATAAACAACACAATTTTTTGCTTTTTAATCTACAACATGAATTAATTTTGAAGCTGTAACATTTGACTTCTTAAAGTCTAATGACTCAAGAGCCAAACTCTTTTCCATCGACAAAGTAACTTTCACGTATAGTCACTATTTGAACACTTTGCTCATGTCTTGGGAGAGTATATATTCTCTTATTATAGCAACATTTTAATCTATGAAGTTATTTCGTATCTACATTAAAACCACCAGCCGCCAGGCCCACCACTACATCTTCTGAATGATTTGATGCAATTCATCACCATCTGGCAAGCAAATTTTCAAAGGCTGAATCTCTCACCGGTTTAACCAGATGTAGATATTATGTGTGCTTCGGAATGCATCTACATAACCAAAAGTTTATGGTTCTTACTGGGCAAAGCATGTAATTGCGGAAAAAAATTTAGGCAGATATATATATATATATAGAGGTTTTTGCTAAAAATAACCCAAAACTTGATTTTGAATACAAAAGTAGACCCTTGAAAAAATATTTGGCAGAAATAACCTAAAGGGATAGTGAAAAGACCATTTAATCCTGTATAAGTAAACAAAAAATGGATGTCCTAATTACCGTTTACTCCCTGACGAAGTCTACTAAAATGAAATGAAGTCTAATTTTATCTAAATGAAGTCTACTAAGTAATTAAATCTGTAAATTTAATTAAAAAATTTATAAAAAAATATTTTGGTATGAAATTTACCATCATAAATTCCGTAATCGTAACCTAAATGCACAAAAATTATATTTTCACATTGGTAAATGGAAATGTATGTTTTTAAATTAAGTAGAAGTAAAATTATTATTTAGGTTTTTAAAATTGTAGACTTCAATATCTATTTTAAGTAGAAGTCTACTAAACCGAATAAATTAACCTAACCGAAATTTAAACCGAAATTAAACCAAAATTAAACCAAAAATATCTATTTTAACCGGAAATTTTATCCTACTATAGAAACCAACGAATCCTCGTAAAACCCTAATTTTCCCAAAGAGACTCTCTAATTCGGCTTTTTTCCTCTGGCCTCCATCGCCTCTCTCACGATTTTTTTCGAAGCTCAGAGATCTGGAGAGATTTTGAGTTCGTTTTGTAAGAATCAAGGGCTTGAGGATGCTTAGACTTAAACTTATGTGTTGAGGTTATACGAATCCGCAGCATGTTGGCCCGGTTCCTACCGTCTACGCTTACCCTCAGTACCAACAGGTTAGTGGGTTTGATAATTCTGAGTGTATTGATTCATATTCATATTGCATGTTTGAGATTTGGGGTTCAGATTAGGGTTTTCGAAATCCCTCTGCTTTGACTTTGGAGTTTTTGCTGTTGAGATAGCATTGAACCTGACTCATTCCACTAATCCTCAGCGAAAATGCGCTCACTTCACTTATTCATCTTCATCATTATCAGTAAGAAGAAATCTTAGATTTTTGATAAAGTTTTTGTGCATACGGTGTAACTAATCAGGACTTCTCATTCATTATCAAGGTCTTGTTAAAGCTTCGGAAAGCAACGATGGGTTTTGTTCAGCGCCTTCGATCGCTGAATCGGACGAGATATCAAAACTCGTTTACAGGAAAGTAATGAGTCCAACACTTTCTCCTTCGTAGCATACTTAATCTGTAGCATACTTAATCTGTTTTACTTACCACAAATCGTAGCATACTTAATCTGTTTTACTCGTTTTTAGCTTCGTGACATTAAAAGTTCGATACTTTTGCTGGTTATGTTCGAATAGGGTTGATTCACATTTCTAGTTAGAGATAGGATTACTTGGATTATTGCTTAATCCGAGAGGATTTCTTGCTCTTGTCTTGCAAAAAGCTCTTAACTTTTGATCAATTAGGTGGTAACATGGAATCATTCAAGTTCAGTTCCATGGATACAGATTCGTTTCTTCCTGATAGTCGTCCCTTTGTATATTAGATGAGTTTTCCTGATCGAATTTGGGATTGAGTATTCTGCATTTGGATCTGTATAATAAGCTGAAAAAATCTGACTCTGTTGCTTTGTAGACTTGCTGGGTTTCACACATTAGGGGCATATTTGATCACACCGGCAATGGGTTCCCATTTTGTCATGTACTTTGCGAAAATGAAAGGTGTGAAGAAAAGATCAAGTTCTTGAGAAAATGAAAGGTGGTAGCTTCATTTGCTTTTTAACAGAAACATGAAGGAAAATGTAGAAAGTGTGATCTTGTTGTTTGTTTTCCTTTGTATGTTGGCTTCACAATATATACTTCCTTATGGTTTTACTCTGATAGAAGCATTGTTGTTGTACAGATCTAGCTCAGGAACTCAGTAGATTTTAAAAAAGTTTTATTGTCTACTGATGAAAGAAATTATATCTCATTGGTTGACTAAACTCTGTTCCATCAGATCTTGTAATCAAAAAACTACTTTGTATAGTTAACTTGTGATTTACGTTAAAATGTTGTTAACACTCTTTTAAAATTCTGATGTAAAAAACAAAAAATAAAGATTTTACAGAATTCTGTTTTAACAAAAAAAAATTCATCAAAGAGTTCTATTGCTTCTTCTAAAATAAAAATTCAACAACAATTTTCTTAGAGCCAAGAGAAAATATGCTTGAATCTGGTAGTGAGTAAGTAAGTTAACACCACCAACTCAGGCTTTTTATCCACCATTTCAATAAATTTTCTAAAGGTACAATGTGTAATGGTATCTATTGGTCATCATTTGTAATGAGCATAAGTGTATTGGTCATGTTATGTATTTTTATCACCTAAGACAACACATTATATCTAAAGCCACATAAAAGAACATTAGTAGACTACACGACGAAGTCTACTTTGATAAACTAAGTACCTAAAAAATCGAAACTTCTGATTCAATAATAAATATCCAATGAAATGAAATAAAATTCACTGGATAGTTCAATCACTTACTAAGAAGCAATTCTAAACAAAAAAATTTGAAAAATAGTTTATAAATTTGCTAAAAACGCGTTTTTAAAAAAACGTCAAAAGTAGACTTCTAAAGCAGACTTCGAATGTAGACTGGAGGAGAAGTCTACTTTGATAAGCTAAGTACCTAAAAAATTGAAACTTGTGATTGAACAATAAATATCCAATGAAAAAAAAAAAATTCAATGGGTAGTTCAATCACTTACTAAAAAGCAGTTCTAAACCAAAAAAATTGAAAAATAGTTTATACATTTGCTTAAAACGCGTTTTTAAAAAAACATAGGAAAGTAGACTTCTATAGTAGACTTCAATTGTAGACTGGAGGAGAAGTCTACTTTTTCATCGAGAAGTCTACTAATGAAATCTACTTAAAAAAAAGGTCATTTTTGCAATTGACCAATCTGTTGACTTTTCCTTCAGTAGACTTCAAAAGTAGACTTTAGGCAAAAAAAGTTACTTTAGCAATTGACCAATGCGTTGACTAACATAGTAGACTTCTATTGTAGACTTCATGTAAGAGTAGACTTCTCTGGCAGTCTACTTTTGAAGTCTACTTTTTAAATAGAAGTCTACGGAACAAAATAGGTTATTTTTGCAATTGAATTTTTTTAGTAGACTTCACGATGAAGTCTACTCAAAAAAAGATTCCTTCCAAGATTGACCGAACACAATAAGTAGACTTCACAAAGAAGTCTACAAACTGTAGACTTCTTCGGGAAGTCTACTGAAGTTTTTTGGGATTTTTTAATTTTTTAATTTTTGAAAAACAGAAGTCAAACACTAAAATGACCTATACGTTTTTGGTCAAACTACAAAAGTAACTTTAAAGTAGACTTCGTATGCTGACGTAAGCAGTTGACTTCATACGGAAGTCTAAATCAAAAAGTCAAAATACGGTCAACTACAAAAATAACCTCTTTTCTTTAGTAGACTTCTTGAGCCTTCAAACGAAGTCTACTAAGCTTTTTTTGTTTTCAAAGGATGTCGAGTAGACTTCTCGTGAAGTTTAACGAAGTCTACTTTTAAAAAGTCAATTGCAAAAATAACCTTATGTTGACTAGTAGACTTCACAATACTTCACGAGAAGTCTACTTTCGCGATATAAAAACTGAAATATGGAGAAATTGAAGTGCGACGATTACCTTTTACAAAATTGAGCTCGGCTACAGTTCTTTTAAGCACCCAGAACTCAGAATATCAACAAAAATAAGCAACCCAGATGTTAAGTAACCAGAAATCACCGAAAATGCATGACTTTTGGCATTGTAACTTAGCCCAGATGTTTTGGAGAAGAAATTATGAAAGAATGAGGAAGGTTATGAGTGAATGAGCTTAAATATTTACTGATTACAGCTTTAAAATTGGTTGATAAGCATTTATTCCATTTTCATGGTTGTTCATGGTGGTTGAAGGTATTGAAGACGATGACATTCTCGTAATTAAAAAGTCTTTAGAAGGTCCAAGAAGACTTTAGCCAATTAAAGAAAAATCGAATTATTAGATGTATAATGACATTTTCGTTAATAGTTTAAGTGGGAAGGATAAAATTGTGAGAAAATGGCCAAAGTTGGAGAGAGAAAAAAAAGAGGTTAGTTTTGTGTTTGACTTTGAAATATGGGTTAAATCTGAAACTCTCCCTATATATATATGCATTTGTGACCTAAGCAAAAAAATTTACATGTATCATGCACCATCATATCTCTACCAAAAAATAATAATAATAATCTGATAAGCATTAAGAATCAAAACAAAATTGTGCTAATACTGTCAGCAATATATTGAAAAAAAAAAGACACTTCACTACATACCAAACAAAATGTATCATGATGATATAACTACTTATAAGCAAAGTAAAAAAAAAAAAAAAAACTCATGTAGCTA